ATTTTTAATATTGAATGATTAATTTGACATTTAAGATTGTTAATTGTTTCCTAAAATGGAAATGAGAACTTTTACATGGGATGTCCAAAAAAAGAAAGTGAGAAACTTTCTATTGATCGAGGGAGTATGATTTTGTTAATTTTTAGATTTTGCTTGCGCATATTTCATGTACTTATAGGGATGCTTGGTTTGTATTTGGATGTTACTCCTTCGCTGGGTTCTTTAGTCATGAAAATTGACTAAAATAAAGTTAGTTTAGTAAGTTTGCTGAATTGGTGAAGAAACACTTCGCTATAAATCTACACATATATAGCTCTTTTGTTACGTTATAAGGATGGGCCGGAGTATATCTCTTAAGTCTTAAGTATTTCTTTTGGGTAAAGTTAGATATCTCATCTTCTATGATTTTGCAATGCCTATATGTTTCTTATTTCATAAATTAGAAGTAAATCTAATTGATGTGTTGAACACAACCATTTTAGTCTGTTTAGTTCCCTATTCCTTATTGTACTTCGTATTACATTGTAGAAATTAATTCCTGCCCAAATGCCTACTACATGCCACTTGTACGATTATTGAATAATACTAGTTGATACAATAATAGCTTCAATTCGAAAATAAACTTATTTAAGTGTTTGATTAAAAAAATAGCTGCTAAGATCGATATATATCAAAAGTATAGATGTTAATTATACAGCCTCTTAATTTTAACGCATCAGACATAAAACTTCCATTCATGCAATTCTACCCGAGAACAAAGTTACAAATCACATACCCTTGAGTACATTGTTCGACAACATTTGAATATATTAAATGACCTTCAAGTATTTTTTTTAGTTTGATATCCCATACAATACATGGGTGAAAGGCTAGTTATTGCATAAATATACCTTTCCTGTGAGTCTGTGACACTTTCACTTTCTATTTGAAACACAGTATGTCACTTTCCCGTGACATAGTATTTTTAATTGTAGCATTGAAAAATATGTTTAGACTTATGTTATTGCAACTATTTGACAGTTATGCCTGAGTCTCATTTTGGAATTCCAAACCTCATTTACTCTTATTTTGGGAAATCTATCAATTATCTTCTACAGTAACTTAAATCATTTTAGGCAAAAAATAACTTCAACCTTACTTAGAGCCCATTTAGTAACACTGGAATTGGCTGAAACAGCTAGGGATGGACCGGATCCGGGCCGACCGGTCCGGCACTGTTTGGAACCGGCCTAGCCCGGCCCGGTGGCCCGGCCAGAGACCGGTCCGGGTAGGCCCGGCCCGGGGGTTACATAGGGCGGGCTCGGGTCAGCCAAAATAGGAATCGGCCCGGCCGGCCCGGGCCCGGTTCAGGCCTATTTTTTTCCAATTTTTTTTGTTTTTCCCGGGTTGGGCTGGGTGTTTTGGGGGGGTTTGGGGGGTGGGGGAGTGAGGGGGGGGGGGGGTTAATTAGAAAAGCAAAAAAAAAAAAAATGAACCGGCCTGAGGCCCGACCCGGACCCGGTGGATAACCGGGCCGATTCCGAGCCCCAACTTTCCCCAAAAAAGCCCGGTCAGACCCAGTCTGAGGCCCGGCCTGGTCCATGCCTAGAAATGGCTGACATTAATGAAGTTCTAGCTGAAGCGGCTGAATTATGGAAACATTATATTTAAAATAGAGTATAAGCTATTAAGGAAAAAATTGGAAAATTAGCTAAAGTGATCCTCTACAATAACTTTAGTCAATTTAAGCAAATAAAGTAATTCAAATTTTCAATCTTAATTATATGCATTAACATTATAAAACTTGGCAACGTCATTATATCACACTTTTATCCAGGGGCAGACCGTAGTACAGACCCAAGGGGGCTACCGCCCCCGCAACAAATTTTTTCTTTAAGGTATATACTACGAAAAATAATATTCGTTCGCTCAAAAAATAATTTTCGCCCCCTAAAAAATATTTTGACCCCCCCCCAAGATGGATTTCCTGGGTCCGCCCCTGCTTTTATCCCGCATTTACCAGTCGAACATGTTATCCCACATTTTTATCTGCAGAGTAAGCCACAATCAATAGCTAATACACAACCACCTGCGGCTGTACTTGCTTCTATATTAGACAAGGCTTTTAGCAATAACTACAACAAATATATAAAGAATTTATCAAGTTCTAAAGGAATCTCAAGTTAAATTGTGTAGCCAATATAGTGTAAGTGTGTAACAATGCATTATATTGAAAAATGGAATAGCATCATATTGCTTGATTGAAATGATGAACACAAGTTCTGATCTAACAACAATTTAGTTACCATAAAAAGTGTACAATGCTAATAAGCACATGTATAGAGTCAATAATATAAACTATGAATACCCCAAACCCATGCTAATAACACAAGACTAAGCATAATTTTCACTCAGCTCTTGACCACTCCCACACTAAGTAAAAGAGCTAGGAGTAGAAACTAATAATGTTGCATCAAAAAAATATGACAGTGACATGCCTCAAAAACTAAATCAATGAGCCCGTTTGGAGAACTCTGTTTTCGGCTTATCAGGCTTATCAGCCAGCTTTTTCACCAAACACGTAACTTTTACTTTCACGCGCTGAATTGTGTAATAAGCCGAAAAAGTAAGGTTGGAGTTACTTTTCTGGCTGTATTGGCTGAAGTTACTGTAGAGGACCATTTTAGCTATTTTTACATACAATTTTTTCTTTAATTTATTAATAAAATATATTTTTAAATTTTTTTTTTCTTAAATCAGCAGAATCAGCCAAAACAGCCACTCCAGCCAGAATATCATAAATTTCAGCAGAATCAGCCAAAACAGCCGATTTTGGTGCTACCAAACGGGCTCAATGTCTCTGCAAAGTGCTAAATGTTCAGTTTTCTTTTACTAGTACAAAATTGGTATACATGATGACTTTGTTTATAAGAAAAGATAATATATGGAACTAATAAGATGTTTTATGTGTTTGAACTGTATACTTGAAGAGAAGTGCGCCAAATGATAAACTAATCGACAAGTGTATTCCATATGAATGCGAATGGAATCATTCAAAATTAAACAGGAAGATAACTTCATTAAATCCACATATTTCCACTAGAAATACTTTTATTCTCAGCAACTTTGCACATTCTTAGCTCTATTCCTCTTAATCATTGCATCTTAATCAAATATGAGAAGTTCTGACTTCTGATAGTCCATCTACAGAAGGGATGACTTCTATCAAATGAGCTAATGAAACTAAGAGCTTGAACATTGGTTAAAACTATGTCAACCACATTTGCAAGATGGTGAAGCTCTTTAGAATTGTGCAAAAACCACCAAGTACTCCAAGCACTCTGCAAAATGTAAAAAAATCCTTTACCAGCTCCATTTAACTCTGTTTCAGTCATGGCAAAAACCTGCAAGAAAGCTAACAGAAACGGCATGTCTTGAGTCCCTTGTACCATATTGAACCACAGCCAATTGGAAAAGTGCTACTCTTTATATCCATCAAAACTTTGTCGAGTCGGTCGAATTCCAGACCGGTTCCGGCCCCAGACTAGCCGTTCCTTGAAAATTGGACTGAGACCTAAAGTTCAGGTTCCAGACTGATTCCGATCCAGTCCACTCATGAGTTTAATTTTTTTAAATTCTCCTCGCCACCCCTCCAACGGTCACAAGAGCCGTTGGATGACCCTACCGCTTTTCAGTTACTTCCTAATTGACATAATGAAAAAACAAATTAAATGGGAAGAGCGGCCAGATCTGGATCCCATTTTGGGCCACCCGGGGAACTGTCGGGCCGATTCCAGTAAAAAAATCAGCCGGTTCCAGTCCTTTGACTCATACATGACTTATGTAGTGATGGTGTTTTCCATTAACGAAATAAAATTTGTAGAGTCAGCAACTAAATATGTAAAATGGATACATTGTAAATATGATTTTGCGAAGAATATAAAACTCTCTAAAAGTGAGCAAAGTGTGGAGTGGTGTGGATGTTATTTTTTACTCGCAAAAAACAAACAAAAAAAAAACTCTCTACTGACTGCTTTTTTTTCAAGGAATAATAATCAGCAACCATAGCATCATACAAAGAAATATCAGTCTGTGCACAATCTGCAAATAGGATACACATAAAGATGAAAAAAAACCAAGGTATCCAACAGTTCAAAACCCCTATGGACCTAGACTAGAAGATAGCACTGAAACCCAAATTAAAATCACATTTCCCTTCTGGCTTTGTGTCTACTCTCCTCCCAAAGCAACTGACACCCCAAGTCCCCAATGTATTTAAATATTTATGGTCAGTTTCAGAGTAAAAGCATACTGTTTCAGAAAAGAGAACAAAAAAGACCAATTCAAAAAACAATAACAGATTAAAGTAGAACTTTATCAACTTGCAGACAGAACAAAGCACCCTTTATCTGCAGCTTAAACATGCTGAGACGGATCCAGGGCCAGATCTGACCTATTGGCTCACCCAGCCTAAAATACTGAGATTATGGTGGGGAAACGATGACAATGGAATGGAGAGCGAAGTAAGCCCTAAATTGCAATTAAATTAAGTTTCCTGAATAATTTTTTTTTTTGCGAGGTGATTCAAGACAGTCATATCTCCTTAAGGGAAAAAAGGATACTTCAACACCTGGACTTTGCATGTTGGTCCTACTGAGCATTTGAGCTCCTGAACTTCTATTAGAGAGCACATAGGGCCAAACATATACCCCACTAAGCTCATGGTTTTTGTGTTTTCATCCAATTTTACATTATTACCTCATTACTTTTCGAGCCATTTGACTGTGCATTCCCCACCTCAGAAACCCTAATAACTTGTGCCAAAATTCAATAATGTACATTATCGTGAGGTATGCTACGAGTTTTGGTTATGAAAGAACAAAGGATGATGAGGCCTTTGCATTTCTGAAGCAGATTTTATATGTGACCATCGAGCAGCATGCAATGCGATGAAGAAATGCTAGACTTATACAAAACATTGACTTATATTTACAATTTGAAGTTGAAGACCAGGCTATCAGACAAAGCTTAGGAGCTTAAAAATTGCATTGCATTCAAAAGCTGAAGTATTATTATACATTGAAATGTTAACTCTTAGAACTTAGACCTCAAAGGTTGTAAAGCAAGTGGATGCCACTTGCAATTATCAACTTTTATTGGGAAGATCTGAAATGGATGAGGTTCTACAACTGTGTGCTAAACAGTGTAGATGAATGAATTGGGGGAGTGCTATACGTTTATACACACACTAAAGAACAAGGCAAAGTAAATTTACTCAGCGCTGACATGAACTCAATAGTTGTAAACTGATTCATCTTTGCTGCAACTCCACATCCCGGTTAACAAACTAATTTCTTCATTCTCCAGTAACACCAAGACTTAACAAAACCCCATCACGCATAAAGTCCTAGGACAATTTCTCAAAACTGCAACTTGATCGTGTGCTATATTCTGCAACAAGCTTGGCAAACAATGATGATCTGTTTTCAAGCAAATTTTCTGGCGTGTCATACTCCCCAATTAGACCTGCAACACGGAGAAAAGAGAATCCACCCAGATATTATTATAAGATTTAACAAGACAACCAGACCTGCAACACAGAGTCAATAAGACAGAAGTGCCACCAACCATGTTCTAATAGCAGGACCATGTTGCTGTCCAGCACAGATGTTATCCTATGCGCAATAGTTATGACAGTGGAGTGTGAGAAGTGTTCATTGAGAGTTCGTTGTATCAGATTATCTGTTGCAGTGTCGACTGATGCAGTGGCCTCATCAAGTACCAAAATCTTGCTGCTTTTCTTGAGTAGCACACGGCCAAGACAAACGAGCTGCCTTTGACCCATGCTCCAATTCTCACCATTCTCAGTAACTGAAATGTTTGTGCGTGCATTCATTATAAATATAACATGGACTCATACCTATGGATAGAAGATATATCATGAGAAAAATATAAAGGGATAGCCAATTGACTTTTAAAACCACCTGCAGAATCGAGTTTTCCTTCCTTTTTTCTTACTTCATCTCCAAGTTGACACTTATCAAGAGCCTAATAAGAATTAACAAAAGAATAGAAGAGACTCAAAATGCTTCTTTCTTTCCACGAAAAAAAGAACAGAGAAATCTAAAAACTATGATGTACCTCCCAAATTTGTTCATCAGAGTACTCTTCAAGTGGATCAAGATTGCTACGAACAGTGCCCTCGAACATGGTCGGATCCTGTGGAATAATGCTCAACCTAGATCGCAAATCGTGCAATCCAATTGTGGATAAATCAACACCATCTATAGCTATTTCTCCATACGCCGGTTCAACAATACGGAAGATAGTCTGTATAAGAGTTGATTTACCACTCCCTGTCCTCCCAACTACACCAGTCTTCTTTCCTCCAAACAAAGTGCATGTGATGCCTCGTAACACAAGAGGCATGTGTGGAGCATACCGAACCTAAATGAAAGTACGCAAAAATGTAAAGAAAACCACACAAAAAGGTCATAAATTACACAGACTGATTCATAAAGATGGAAATTTTGATGCACCTGAAGATTTCTGATATCAACCTCTCCAGTTGAGGGCCAATCAGGGTCTGGTCTGTTGGATTCCACAATAAGAGGAGGCTCACTAGGGATTGTGTTGTATTGAAGTATTCTTTCGACTGAAATAATTTTATTCTCCATACTGCAAAGGTTCCATATAACCCAAGCTTGCAACATGTTGAGATTAAGCCCATATGTCACAGCTAAGCCAGCAACACCTGCAATTTGTTTTACGAAAACTCTTAATTTTGAAACAAAAAACGAAGTTAAAAAGGCAGAATAACTCATATTTCTCACTAGCATTGATTGTTCCAACTGGAACAGAGATCAAGAAGACCAAAGAAAAGGCAAAAGTGACCAATGACAGCATATCCAACCGAAAGCAAAGCCACTCCATAGCACCAGCAGTGTGAAACTTTGGCCGATTATATGCATCTATCAGTTTCATACTCAAATCACGAAATCTGGCTTCTTGCTCAAAACCTCTAATTGTAGTTGATCCTGATATGGTTTCAGCAAAGTGCTGTATTATTGGTGCCTTACAAACTCCAACTAACCGTGCCAATTCCCGTGCTGAAGGTATGTAATATTGCTGCAATTACAAAAAAATTGGGGGTGAGAGGGTAAATGAATTGATTTATGTGCATAAGACTATGGATTTTTTTAATAAGATAACTTGATAGAAAGGGCTACCTCTAAATAGATGCACATTGCAATCACCGGAATAAAAACAACAAAAACCTGCCATGCAACTTGAGACATTACTGCAATGATACTGGCTAGCTGAATCATGGTGAAAGCAAATGTTCCAACTTGAAATGGGATGTCCAGATCAACTGCACTTTGGTCTGTAGAAGCCTATCATGATTCATGATCATACAAAGTCAGAAAAAATCATAAAGCTGAATGTGAAGTTCAAGATGAATCAAGAGAACATTTTGGTTTTTTACTTACTCTATTAAGAATACGCCCACAGGGTGTTGCATCAAAGAAAGACATTGGTGCACGGAATATGCACAAATGCATTTTATTAAATAGTTGTGTTGCCGTCTTGTACCCAGCGGTTGCAAGCAACACGGATCTCCCAAGGATGCAAAAAGAACTTCCAATTGCTAAACAAACATACACAATGATGAGTGTACGACTTCCAACTGGAGGTTTCTCAAATTCTGACACAGGAGTTGCCCAAGTCATCCAATAGTTGCTTCCAACTTGAAGCGCCTGAAAGAGTATATGTGCCACCAATATGAAGGGCACAAGGGCACCTCCGTATGCAGTTCTGATATATCTCCAATAAACTGACAAACTAACACTACCTTTGTCTCTTTCTTCCTCTTGGACAAGTTGGGCTTTTGGTTCCAAAGCATTGTTAGGCTTACCACTTTGCCCACTGTCACCTTCTTCTTCATTCTGAATAGTAGTACTCTTATTACTAGTCAAGCTACTGTTTACTTCACCCATGACTCCCTGTCTTCCCCCAAAGACATCTATTGCAGATAAAGCTTCTTTGTGAGCACCCACTAGTTCCATAAAGTCACTGCCCAAATTGAGAATATCATTGTACTTCCCGGACTGTGAAACCCTTCCATCTTTCATGACCTGATTAGTTTAGTATAATCCCACTCAATTAGGTGATACCGAAATCATGGATAGCAGATAGCGAAGTATACAAATAATCAAAATATATTTAACAAGACATAACATATACTCCCTCCGTCCCATTTTACCTGTCCTATTTTCCTTTTTGGGTTGTCCCAAAATAAGTGTCTCCTTTCTTTTTTTGGAAATAAATATGTGCCCTACATCATTTCACTTTATTACACTCAAACCCCAACCACAACTTTTACTTTTTCAACCACTTCATTAATAATCGTGTCAAGTCAAACTAAGACACATAAAATGGGACGGAGGTAGTAATAAAGTAAAAGAAAATAAATGAGGTAGAATGAAATGAAATGAATGACAAGAAGGTTACCAAGATCAGATCTGCAGCGGGCAAGAACTCTATTTGATGAGTAACATATACTACTGTCTTCGACTCCAGAAGCCCCAAAATGCACTCCTATCAACATGCATAAATGAAAGGAAGTTCTATTAGGGATTAGTTATATACTTATATGCTCATTTCAGGTTCACACAATATCGTGAATGCATATGTATTAGCACTAGGTTGGTACTTGCATTAAACAGATGTGTTCCAGTATGAGCATCTACTGCACTGAATGGATCATCAAAAAGATAAATGTCAGCATCTTGGTACAAAGCACGTGCAATCTGCACTCTTTGCTTCTGCCCGCCGCTCAAGTTGATACCCCTCTCACCTATGATTGTTTGATCACCAAACGCAAGGACTTCCAAATCTTTCTTTAAGCAACATGCTTCAATAACTCTTTCATACTTCTCTCTGTCCATCTCTTTACCAAACAATATATTTTCTTCAATTTTCCCACCCTGTATCCACGGTGACTGAGAAATATATGCCTTTGTCCCACAGATCTTAACACTTCCTGATATTCTGGGCATTTCTCCCAAAATGCAAGTTAGCAAACTTGACTTTCCTGACCCGACGGTACCACAAATGGCAACTCTCATGCCATTATGAACTCTAAGATTAATGTCCTTAAGAAGTGGTGTTGGAGTGGGGGGTTCAATCCAACTGAAATTTCCTTCAACAATCTCAATCGATACATCAGAACTGCCTCTTGGAAGCTTCTCTATGGCATTTGGTTTGAGGTCATCAAGGGAAAGAAACAATGCTATTCGATCGAGGGAAACTTTAGTCTGAACCATATTTGAAATTGTATCTGGAAGGTTGTAGATTGCCTCCTGGAGTATCCTAAATGTGGCAAGTGCAGAGAGTATCTTCCCTGATTCAAGTGGAATCCCCATAAGCATTGCAGTGACAAAGGTAGCCACAGACACAAATGTTGGAGCCATCCAAAACACAAAAGAAGACATAGATGAAGTGTAAACAAATTTTTTAAGCCATCCTGCCTCAATATTTCTGAGTTGAATGATTTTGGAATAAAATTTCATCTCCCATGCTTGAAGTTTGAGGATTCGCATGTTCCTTAAGACTTCAGACATTGCCTTCATCCTAGCATCTTTTGATTTCATAAGTTTATCCTGGAAATTCTCTTCCAATTTCCCTAGAGGAATGTTTGCCAACATTACTATAACTGTAGAAATTAAAGCCGCGACTGAAGCCAGTCCCAGATTCTTGTAGATGACGGCAAGTGCAAGACCAACCTGTAGCAGTACCATCCAAGGGTCATGCATGTACCAACCAAAGTCACCAATCCTCTCAGCATCTACAGTCATAAAATTGATTATCTCTCCACTAGTGTGAGTCTGCTTTGAAGAGCATGAAAGAGTCAAGCCCTTATCGTAGATTTTGGCAACCAGTGTAGCCCGAGCCCTGTACCCAGCCTGCTGCACCTTGAAAAACCAATGCCTCATCGACAAGCACTCAACAATCTTTGCTACAAAGAACACAGAAACTAATAGGTAGCCTTCATTTTGTCCCCTAGATTCTAGACTTCCATTCAGAAATTTAACAAAGGTATCGATGAGGTAAGGTCCAACATATGAAGCAAGTGTATAACAGGCCGCATAGCAGGCAGATAATAGAATGTCCTTCCATGCTGTGAGAACTAAAGCTTTCACAAGCATGGATGTAGTTAATTTGTTACTGCCACGCCCTTCACCAGTGGTTTCTGCTACATTATCTTGGAAGATTGGATAAGCCCCTCTGACACTATCCAAACCAGAAAGCTGAGGAACATCCTCAAGGTCTAATGTTTTCTTTTTGCCAACAGAAATTAGAGGACCCATCCAAGAAAATGTCAGTTTACTATAAAAGTTGGCCTTGGCAAAGGGAGTCACAGTTTCATCCCCAGAACTTAGTTCTTTCATTTGTGAAACATTTCTGCCCCCACCATTTAATAGGGGCTGCCTAAGAAGCTCGTTCCCACCCTCCTTTCCACCCAAAATGCAAACCAAACAGAGGAATAAGCCGAACACAGAAGAAACTACGTCAGAAATCCAAAATTGGGTAGGTAAGTTTCTGTTCTTTTTGTAATAAACAATGTCTATGGCTAGGCAATAGCAAGACAGGGACAAGAAAAAGCCCCACCAGACTCTTAAAACAATTGGGTACTCAATCATTGCACCTGAACTCAATTGAGTGAGCAATACAGAGAAGATTGCCAACCAAGTAATGGTTTTTATTGAGAAATCGAAAAGGGTTAGAATCTTTTCATCAGACCAACCGTTTCTATACCAATAAAACTGAGATACAAAACAGAGAACAAAGTTCAGAAGCGAGAGACTCAAACAAGATAGAAGTGCTGTTTTCAGGTACCGGAAATTTGGTTTAGGAACACGGCCGCCCATGTCGTGATCATCCACCTGTTGTTTCTCTACATTCTCAACACGATTGTTTTTCGCCTTCTTCACTGACCAACAATGTATAAGAAGATAGAGCGACAAAACGACGTGGAGTGAAGCAGAGACGACCCGAAGAAAGACCGGGTTGATGATGAGAGGATCGCCTTCTGCGGAACTCCAAGAAAAGTGGTGAGAAAGCAGAAACCCAGACATGGCGGATTGTGATGGAGAACTCCCAGGCCTGCTTAGAGTGATCCTTTACTGGTTTGTGCTCTCTTCCAGAAAGTCATCTTTTATACTGAATTAATTATTGAAAAATTGTTTGCTTTCTTCCTCTGTGGGTCCCAGCCGTGACGCCCAAGTACATATGATGGTCCAACTCCTATGCGGAAAACTCCGGTCAACGTTAGCTGCGCAAAAGGGAAAGAGAGATTGAAGATTATTTGTGGGGCCGGGGAGGGATGCGATTTTCGTGGCCTAGTGACACTTTTGCTTAAAGTGTGAGGAAGACAGGTTTTAATGGATTGTAATGGATTCTAGGAGCTATTTGGTAACATGAAAATGGGTTGATTTGGTTGATTCTGCTGAAATTTATCAAGTTCTTGTTGATGTGGCTGCAATGGCTGATTCTACTGATTTAAGAAAAAAAATTAAATATATTTCATTTAAAATTAAGAAAAAATTATATGTAAAAATAGCTAAAATGATCATCTATAGTAACTTCAACCAAAACAGCCAGTAAAGTAACTCTAATCTTACTTTTTCGGCTTATTACACAACTCAGCGGGCGAAAACAGAAGTTACGCGTTTGGTGAAAAACAGTGGTTCCAAACGGCCTCTAGATCGTATAGATTTTACGTATTTAAAAGGGAGAAATGGATATATAGCCTTTTAAATTAGATACATAAAATAAAGGGAGAAATGGATATATAGCCTTTTAAATTAGATACATAAAATACTAGATGTGAAAAAAAAGTCTGTTCGTGAAAAAGGCGGCCATCTAGGGTTTGTCCCTAGCAGCTTGTCCGGTGGCTTTGGCCTGAGCCGGTGTTTTCGAGAGGTATCGCTCAGCAAGGGGAGTCCTCAGCCTTCAGTAAAGGTCGTTTGCTGGGAAGGAGTTCACACAGCAGTTCGCAGAGCAGGTCGAGGTCCTGTTTTGGGCGATTTTCCGGCTTCGTTAGCATCAAGATAGGGAGTGGTTTGGGCGTTGATTCGTTGTTTGTGGCAATGCAAATTCGGAAGAGCTTTTGGTTAAGGGCGGAGATGGAGGATAACCATGTGATGGGATTCATGAGGAGGGCTCAAGATTCTGTTAAGATTTAATCTCACGCACACGATGAATAATAAGAAGAACACACGAAATTTGGTAACTCAGTTTGCCACGAATGACTACGTCTGGGGGCGCTACCAAGACAGGAATGTTATTAATATTTCTGGTCAAGTGATTATAAGGGAGAGAGCTTGTATTTATAGAGAGTAAAACCTAACCCCTAAGCATAATAGGACTCGCGCGCGAAGCCCACATCTGTACGGCCCAAACTGTATAGAAACTCGCGGCTCTTCAGAAACGAACCAACTCCTCGTCGAGTTGGATCGACGAATAGTGATTGGTTATACAGTCTCTAACACCTTACAGATTCGGGATCGGAAACATTTAGGGCCGGTGGCGGTGATCCAGTACAAGCGAAAGAAGACGAAAAAATGTTGATTCGTCCCCCACCTGAAATGCCGCCATGGGGGAATTGTGCGACTAGGGTTTGGAAGGTTATCTCTGTTTTTGTTTTTGTTTGTTTGTGTTTTTACTTCGAACGTCATGTTATTTTGTTTGTCATGTACACTTATTTCTGTCAGACTCTTACATTAGGTGGGGATGATGAGGGTGTCGCTCTGGCCATGATAGACTCATTTGGAGCCAATATAGGATCAACGAATCACATTGCTCTGTTTAGGCTGGTTGCTCTGTTTTTGCTCCATTTACATTAGTTCTCAGGCTGGTTCGCGGATCGATGGCTGGAAATGTTCCCCTTATCTTTTATTTCCCTTGTTGAATGTTTTATTATCAATATAAGCAAGTTTGTTCCAAAAAATATAGATACATAAAGTTAACAGCACTCATTTATATTTTATAAAACATATAGCACTTGTATATGGAATTTGCATATACAAGACCCGTTAATAATGGATACAGACATAGTGATGCTAAAGCAAAATATATATTCTAAATTGATAGTAATCAATAAAAGGCTATTTATTTTATTTCGGATAATACATATCAATAAAAGGTATTTAAACTTGTGTCTATACCCAATTTTCTCTATTTAAAAAATCTTCTTTCATTTAGTTACGCACAAGTTAAGAAGGGGTTGCTAGGCGCGTCCCCAATTTATAATTATCCCAGATATGACTAAAACTCGATGAGTTTACCAATCTATGACCTAACTAGTTTTTTCCCCAAAATAATACTAATATTCACAATATTTAATTAAAATTCGTAATTTATAAATAATAAATAATTTTTATGGACAAATATACCCTTTCTGTTATATCTATAAAACCATAACCTCCTCCCATTTTCATCAACCCTAGCCACAATCTCCTACGTCCAACCACGCAGCCGCCCAGCCGTCTGACCGCCTCCCACTGTCCAGCGCCGCCTCCTTCCAGAGAACTCCGGCCAGAGAAACCCACCACTGAACCAGCAAAGTCACTGATCCAGAACTCCGGCCTGGCAAAGTCGCCGTCCCAGGGCATGCCAAACGAGCCGTGCAGATCCGTGTGCCGCCGTCCAGATCTAGAAAACGAGGCGCGCAGATCGTCCCAGGGCTTCCTCTACTTCTTCGAAGTCCTCCATTCTCATCGCCGCCGCACTTGAAAGCACTGACATCTATCCATCTTCAATTGTGAAAACTTAGTTTAAAAGAAGAGTAGGGGTCGATTTAGGCTCTTCCCTTCCTGATGTAGTCATGTAGACGCGCTAGCAGAGGTAGTAGGAGCCACTTTTTGATTTAGGCTGCATAATATTATATCTTATACTCTATATTATCTATATTAATAAAATTGGCTCCTAAGCGAATCAATTTTTCTTGTTTTCGGGTCTCCTTCAATAATTCATTTTCTCAATTCCAAATTGAGCGACTTTGTTTCAAAAGTTAGTATTTCTTACGTGGGCCAATTTTAGATGATTTTTGGATTTTATTTTTGGCTTTAGAAAATTAAAGTTTGTAGGCATTAAAAATGTGCAGTGAATATGGACATTAAATATGATAATAAATATTGTTGAGTATGGTGAGTCATTTTAGGGTTTGTGAGCATTAAATATGAGCATTGAACATTGATAGATAATATGAAAGCGTTGAGTATGACACTTAATATAGCAATATATATGTTGTACATGGCAATAAATGAATGCATTAAGGAAGTTTGTTGTAAAGTGATTATGACCAGTATTGCAGTAACACAAAGCAGTGATATCATCATGAAATGCAATGTACTTAATTAGACGTAAAATAATAAAATTTTATTAATTTTTTTTATAAATCCTCAATTGAATAAAAAGAGAATTAATTTTAGGGGAAGTGCAGTGATTATTACCGGATGTGCAGTAAAGTCATGCATTAATTTTGCGCATTAACTGCAATATAAAATGCAGTAATTCTAATTGGACGAAATTAGTGCAAAATGCACATATTTTAAATAAAGGTATTTTTGTCATTCAACATTTATATATAAACGAATTTTCTATTTGTTTTTGGAATTTTGGTCATACAAAGGTATAAAAACTAGTTAGGCCATAGATTGAGAAACTCATTGAGTTTTAGTCATATTCCGGTAAATTTCCCATTTTGCTTTACATAACCCTAACTAGACTTAATTGTCCCTTTAATTGCCCCTTTATTTTATTTTTTTATCTAATGTTTATATTAGGACCGTATAATTTGTCCTTAAAAGTATCAACAAACCCATTTGGCTCTCACTTTTTCTTTATCATCACAAACCCATTTAGCTGTCACTTTTAATAATTTTGTGTGATGACTCTCAAAATTGATCCAATTTAAATTGAAGTGCAAATAACATTTTTTATAAATGTGTCAAGAATCTCCCAAATAAAAAAATGTGTCAACAATTATTTTTTATAAAATGTTATACTATTTTAATTTGTTCTCCGAATTTGACAAAGATTGAACAAGTTTTTACAAGATAGAAATTAGGGAAAATGGAAACTAATAATCCAACCTTTTAGCGGTCTTCTTACAATAGTCCCACCTTTTGATTATTCATGAATAATCCAACCTTTGCACCTCATCTTCATTCAATGGTCCCTGACCGGTTGATGACCTACTATTCCAAGTTATTTTCTTATCTTTGTGAAAGGTGAGATTTATGGTATAATGGTTTGCAAAGATAAGAAAATAACTTGGAATAGTAGGTCATCAACCGGTCAGGGACCAGTGAATGAAGATGAGGTGCAAAGGTTGGATTATTCATGAATAATCAAAAGGTGGGACTATTGTAAGAAGATCGCTAAAAGGTTGGATTATTAGTTTCCATTTTCCCTAGAAATTAAAAGAAAACAATCATTAAGTAGAAAAGCTCAATTGCATATATGATTGTACCACATGTAGCAATGAGTGTAACACTTGTATAACATTTAATGTTCTTAATCATTAATAAAATGGCCAAAATTGTTGAGCATTTTTGAAACTTTGAGTTTTTTTAATAAAAATAAATTTGATTTCTTATACTTCATTTATTCTTGTAGAACTTTGTGTTGCTATATGAATTATATTTGTTTCATTTATTTATTTATTTATTTATTTATTTATTTATTTATTTATTTATTTATTTATTTATTTATTTATTTATTTATTTATTTATTTATTTATTTGTCTCTTATCGTACTCCGTATTGTACAAATGAAATCACTCACGGTAGGACTAAAACATAACATTACGTAGTATTTTTTTTTATCGAAGAGGGCTTAAATTGATATAAAAGAATTCAGCCCTAACCATTCGCTCTTGGTCGAGACTCCGAGTTAATCACCTTTGACAGAGCAATATAACTCGCTAGACCTAACTCGGGCAATTTAAAGCCAATGACGATTACCGAAAACCTCTTATCCCCCAAACCTAATGCAAGAGTTTAAAGTAAAGGAAAAAATAACCGTAAACTAGAACAGTCTGACCATTGAATGAAAAATAAAAGCAAACAAGAAGGAAAATACCAATCTTCGTCTTCCAGAGCCTAGTCGTCATCTGCATTACCGGTGGGTTTAGGAAGACTGGCTCGCCGCCTTCCCATTTTTTTGTCTATCATGTGCCATATCCTCTCCAGTAGCCTCTCCTTTAGACTGACCATCCCAAATTCTTCTGCATTTTGTTTGGCCCGACACCTCCTCCTTACCTTCCTTGCTTCCCTGGTGAGATGCACTTGCACCTGTTTCTGCCGAGTACTCTCCCCCGAGATCAGTCTTCCGCTGATGTCCAAAACCATTGGAGCTTGAGGACTCGTCCACAAACCACCTTTTCGCCCTTGTAGGGCTGGTCTTCACCCCCCCCCCCCCCCCTCCACCTGCCCTGAGCTCCACCCCAAAGGATTTCTCCAACACAATTCCCTCTTCATACTTTAAAGGGCAAAATTTATCTGAGTGTCCGATTACCCCACACAAGAAGCAGAAATTGGGTAATTTCTCATACTTAAAATCTACCCAATGTCCCACTCTTTCCTTTGTTAAAGTAGTACCCTTTTTAAGTGATTTTCGCACATCCATACAGACCCTTATACACAGGTATGATTTCCGGTTGCCTTCAAACTGATTCTTATCAAGCCTAATGAAGGTACTTAGAAAGTTCCCAATTCTCCTGGCAGAACCCAAATTTCTAAACATATAGGGAACATTGTGAACCTGTACCCAAAGATCAGCCTCAAACAAATTTATACTTTTGTGTATATCATTCGGCTGAACAGCTTTCAGCAGAACTAAATCTCTTTCAAATATCCAAGGGTCATTCTCAAGATCGAACACGATTCATATCAAGAACATGATTAAAATTAAATAGGTACCTTTTATCCCCAATTTCTTTGATAGCCATACCTCTTCCTGGACGCCATATTGAAGCCAACAGATCTTGGAAACCCGGGAGTTTTATTTTTCGATTTGTAACCCCCACCCCCACCACCGGAAACACTGTTGGTTCATCATCCGCCTCCAGCTCCTCTGATTCATCATCATCGAAGTTGACTTCGTTGTCTTTTTCGCCAATCGACATGTTCTTGTAGTTGTGAACAATATACTCCATTGGCTAAAATCCCTTTTGCAAATCGATTCCTACTCTTGCCTTCTCGATCGGAAAACCCGCCGCCCTAGACCACACGAAACCTGCCTCTCCTCGGTGATACTTGCAGCCCGCCTCGAACCGCCCTCCAACCTTCACTTGTCAAGCCCGAATCTGCCTTTCGATCTCCTTCCTTGACGAAATCGTAGAAAGCCTCTAGCGGCGCTATGCGCTAGAGAGAAGACCACCATTTTTTGGGAGAAAACCTAATATAAAACACAGTTTCCTAAAACATAACATTATTCTTAAAGTATGATTATATGTTTGATTTTCCTTAAATAGGAATAAATATTACATATTCACCCCTAGTTTAATTAATTTATATAATTAATTGTCTCTAGTTCCCTTTCATCACCAAAGCCATTTTGTTGGTAGCGGGTCAGTCCGGTGACGACAGCGGGGAACTCCGGTGATGGAGGCGGACAGGCATATCGGTAGCGGCAATCTAGGTGAAAATTAAGACGACCAGCCGTGGCGGTCCGCATGTAAAAAGTCTATGGACTTTTTGAAAGTCAATAAACTTATCTGTGGATTTAAAAGTCCATAGAATTCTTTCATAAAAAGTCTGGATTTAAAAGTCCGTTGACTTTTTTAAAAGTCCATGGATTAAAAAAAGTCTACAACAATCCATATTCAATACACCCCCCCCCTAAGGTTTGGATGTTGTTGTTGTATTTTTATTAGATGTTTACTATTAGTTTTTCACCCGTGCGTTGCACGGGATTGTAATTTCTTAATTTTTAATTTAATATTTATATAATTGCTCTAAATTAAATTTAGAATCACTATTTGTAAAAGATAATAACACCTGTACGATAAATAATTCGATATGAGTTTCTCCGTCTTGCAAAGATTGTTTAGTCTTTCCTTTTTATCTTTCCCTCTAAAATTGTCTCATTACAATTTTAGAAAAGTTTATGTGATTCTAAATCATTTTTACTTTATCAATTAAGTATCAATCACAAAAACTCTTTTTTTTAATAACTCCGCCACATCTTCATATCCAAGTGTTAGTGGAACGGAGATAGTACATTTTACCATGTACTTTGAGAGCCAAACTAAAGTCTCGAGACAACTCATAAAATTATCGCATTGACATATATGTACGTGTATTACTATGTTATGAAAAATTTCAATTATTATAATAAAACATGAGTATAACTCAATATATTTTTTCACTATTGTGGAATTCAATGAAGTGTTAAAAGTGGTTTAATGCATCAAATTCCCGTGATATATACATTCGGTACATTGGGTATTCTTGCGCAAAGTCCATAATTAACAAATTTAGTTGTCAAAGAAAAGAAAATTAATTAGTATTCATTAGTAATTTTGGACAATTTAGAGTTCTTCATAAACTCACTTGCATATTCAATCATAATATTAAGATAAATTATTTCCAAATTTTTAAATTTATTTTTGGGGGAATTTTTGCGAATGAATAATTATAATAGTGAGGGTTTGATACAATTTTTAAACATAAAATTGTTATTTGGTTGATTTCACCCCTTGATACTACCACATATAAGTGACTATAGGTAAATAAAGGACCGGGTAACATAATGAGGTGCATTTACATGTTCCAAGAAATTGAGATACACATCTCCTAATAGATTTCATAGTATTAGATGTGAAAGGAGCTTGATGGATGATAATTACTATAGACAAATAGGACATTAAACCTTAGGCTCATGCAGTATAAATTTGAGATAGTATTTACTCCTTTCACAAAACAATCGTGAAGAGTATTGATTGTTTAAATGCATTTAGAGAGGCAAAAAATATTGATCGTATAAAACCTATAAATCATTCAATAAATTAAAATTAGCGAAGGCATAAAATGAATACTTAGGTGTACTTGTTCGGAATAAATTCAGCGAGTTCCAAATAGAAAAAAGAAATGAATATTACAGAAAATACTTTGAAAACAATGTTGACCCATTTGAGCTCCGTTAATGACCCATATTTTCTGATAAGATAGATGTAAGGGAGGGAAATTATCGATTTGGCTCCAGTAGTGAACCATTTTCACAAGAAGGAAGAAGAAAATGAGGGAAAGAAAAAGTGTAATTTAAAGGATTGAGAAAAAAAGAACATGAGTGGAGAACCAATTAAATGTGTATATATAATTGAATATAAGGAATATGATGAAATTGAAAAAGAAATTGAATACAATTAAACTGAAAAGAAACTTAATATCATTAATTATTATTATTATTATTAGAGACTTAATACCATTAATTATCATTATATGGTTTATCATTATAAACTGAAAAGAAACTTAATACCATTAAGGATGTTTTTACTTGGACTGTAATTTGCTGGTCTGGTCTGGTTTGGTCTGATCTGGTCTGGTCTGAACTGGTCTGGTCTGGTCTGGTAAAGTCTGGTTTCTTTGTATTTTTATAACTATCCAAGTCTGGTCTGGTCTGGTCTGAACTGATCTGGTCTGGTCTGAACTGGTCTGGTCTGGTCTGGTCTGGGGCAAATTACAGTCCAAGTAAAAACATCCTAATTGTAATCATATGATTTATAATCAGGAGAGAGAAGCGGCAAGTTTTAGGGAGATGGATTCTCCCTTTAGGTATATAGGATAGGATAGGATAGGATAGGATAGGATATGATAGGATAGGATAGGATTTAACAGATTTTTCATTAAATATTACTATGGATAAAATGTGACTTAAGTCACTCAAGTATATCACTATAGTCACTACAATGTAAATTTCAACATTGTCAGTATCACTAAATTAGATCAAATTTAAGTCACTAAAGTATAAAAAGTCATGTTATTTCCATTACCTTTATTTTACTCTCTTTGTCCCCCTAAGTTTGTCCTGTTTTACCTTTTCCGTCCGTCCCACTAAGTTGGTCTCATATCATATTTGGTAATATTTGGGTTGTTAGAATGCATTCTTACTTTATTCACACTTTATCAATTCAATATCAATCACACAATTCTACTTTTTCTTAAAAATCACACCACACCCCTTTGTCTCAAACTTAGGGGGTGAGATAGTACTATTCTTTAAGTCTAGTTGCTAGTTTGGTATGACTTGTTTAAATCTATCTAGATTGAAATCAGTCCAATCAAAAACATTTTTAGATGTCATTCACATGTCCAATCATCAATATAGCATATATGGCCTTAATTTATAAGAAGACATAATTGAAATTTGAAGTATACATATTAGTAGGACAAAAACTCATTTATTAGAGGGATAAATTCATAAATATACTACCAATAACGATGTTTTTAATTGAATTAAAATTTTCTGGTTTAGTTAGATTGACCGGGTTTTGGTATGTTTAAGTTTAGTCTAGTTTAGTATGGTCTAAACTGATCTGATCAGTTACATGTGTATTATACTCCCTCCGTCCCCTTTTAAATGTCATGTTTTACCATATTGGGATGTCCCTATTTAATTGTCCCATATATTATTTGGTAAAGTTTATGTGGCTCAAAATCATTCTTACTTTATTCTTACTTTATCAATTAATATCAACCACACAAACTCACTTTTCTTAAAACACGTGTCACCCTCTTCCGTCCCAATAATCCAATATAAAAAGGACAAAGGTAGTATGTGTTATACAACCATAAAAATTGGTCTAGTATTTTTACACGTAGTCTGGTCTGAGGTCAAATCACTCTAATTAAAAACATCTTGAATAGTGTCAATAATATTCATATGATAATACTCCATAAAATAAAGACATTCTTCAATAAAAAGATGAATGAAAAAAGTGTATGTAACCATGCAAATACCATTGAACATTGTATGCGACAAGCTTTATAAAAACAAATAAAAAAGTGAGATAAAGCCATTGGGCCAGATGAAGTGATTATTAATTAATATGAATTACGATAAATAAATATCTCGTTAGTGTGAAAGTGAAGAGTATTTCTACTTATTTTTAGACAATAATCTTCATATTCTTTACTCATTGTAAATCAAAATTGTAAAGAAATAATAACAGCATTATAATGTGTTACAAATAATTATATAGTAATTGTTCGATGGCAGTTAAAATCCGTAATCCGGGGATATATTATGATTTTGAGTATATTTTAAAGATAGACGTTTTTAAAAAATGAAGTTAACAAATTCAGGAAAAATAAAAACCTAAAATTTAATTTAAAAACAAATTCACATAAAAAAATTACAAATCAAAATAAGGAGTGGTTTTCAAAAAACAAAATTCAAAATAAGGAGTTTGGCTATGTTTAAAGAACGGGACCGGGCAGTTCGATCCGGAACCCGGCCACCCGATCAATTATCCGGTCCAGTTAACCTGTAAACTGTCAATGGTAGATGAAGAAGAGTCTCTTGAGAACAATCCCCTTTCATACCAAACACAGTGCATTGTTATAAAATTATTACAATGTGTAGCTTGAATATGTGTGTCAGATCGGTCATTCAAGGCTTAGTTTTGTAATGGGGACGTACTATATTTCATTCCTATTTCATTTCACCTGACTTTGCCGATTTAAGTGATCTAACCCTTTTCACCTTTTTTCTTCTTCTTCTTCACTTTCCCTATTTAAGCTCTCATTCTTAAACAAACCTCTATTTCCTCTCATTTGTTGTGTCAAAACCTTTCTATTTTGAAGCTCTTCATTTGCTTTTGCAAGGAGATAATTAAATTCCTTAACATTCCATTAGCTGGCCTTTTTATTATTTTTTTTTTTAAAGTTTTATGAACCATGACATCTAGTTCTTAATACGCGCGTTGCGCGATTAGGGTGATGCCCAATACAATTTCCATTAGAATAAAAATGGTATCAAGACTGCATCTTATATGCTGAGATGATTGAAAGGAAATTATGTTTTAAATGTTTATTCTTGTATGGGGAAAGAGGGGTTTCTTGTGATGGGACATAATGAGCAAGAGTTTGGACATTTTCATGGAGAATTCCGGGCAAAGGAGGAGAATGTCCTTTTCTATCATGGTTGCAGTTGACATTATGCTTCATGTTGCAAGAGGGATGGAGTACTTACATTCAAGAAGCATTTTCCATGGTGAGTTGAATCCATCAAATATTCTTCTCAGACCAACAACCGACTCCGCCTCCTCGTCTTTGGAGAGTTATTACTTACATGTAAAACTAGCTGGCTTTGGTTTATCCCTTCTGAAAAGTCAGTATACTCACAGAAGCTGCCCGAGGGTAAGTTTGATCTGGTGGTTTGGTATGCACCAAAAGTTGTGGCTGAGCTAAGGAACAGCAGCAAAGGCAACATGAAATACTCGGAAAAGTGATGTGTACAGCTTTGGCATGCTGTGTTTCCAGATTCTGACAGGGAAAGCTCCATTTGAGGATGGGTTAGGCAGTGGGGAGATAGTGCGGCCTCTTCAAGGAGATAAAATGGTACACAGTTTGATGGCTGGGGAGAGGCCACTCTTCCCAAACCCTTTCCCTAAATACCTCATGAACTTGATTAGGAAATGCTGGCAAACCAGCCCCAACGCACCCCTGGTTTTTCTTCCATTTGCAGAATTTTAAAATATATGAAGAAGGTCTTTGTTATGAATCCTGAGCATGGTCACCTTGGCTGTCCTCCTCTTGTTGATTATTGTGACATTGAAGCTGGCTACTCTAATAAGTTTGCTGCCATGGATGGCATCACAGAATCTTTTCCTTCTGTATGTGAAATACCATTTCAGATGTTTGCTTATAAGCTTGTTGAGCAGAAGAGAACTTCAAGAAATGGTGGCTTTCCGTTCACGCCTCACTGGCTGCCAGATGAAGAAGATGATCTCCATGTCATCATGCAAAATAATAGTGGAACTCGTCACAGAAGATTGGCATGCACAGAAGTTATGGACAGGAATGATCTGAGAATCTTTTCTGATCAACGATCTGTTGTCTCAGAGATCCCACACTCAAAGAAGATGATCTCCATATCATCTTTCAGCTTATCACACATTTCAATTCTATCTGATGAAACTACCTCAGCTATTGCAGATACCCCTGACTGGAGGCTATTCTCTGGGCTGCCGAATGATCATCCAAGTCTCCCTTTCATTGGGACACATTGAAGGAAAAGCCATCAGTCAATATCCACAGCAAGCAGTAATGAGACTAAGTCAGAGAGAGGAATGTCATCAAAAACCAAAAACAAAATCCAGTGGTTGGCAAATGATTTTTCTAGATCTACTGGGAAGAAGCATTCAACAACTGAAAAAACCATTCCTCATCTACTCCCGAGAATCCACAAAAAACATCCACTTTAAGGCCAAGCAAATCGAAGCTCGCACTGAAAATGCTATATTTAAGAATAGTTTGAAAAGCAATCAAAATTACAAAATGTGGAAGCACTTGAATTTCCCATAGGTATGCCCAGCTCACTTAGAGCTTCTTTAAAGATGCATATTACTGACCTTACAACGGGACTATGAGTGTAAGCAGGTCCTCAAAAGGAAAGCAAGTTCTAAATGCATGCCCAAGCATATCTTATCCAACCAAAATTGTAATTGCATAGAAATTCTTATTCTTTTGGCCGTTTATACCATGTTTGGGTGGGAAAATAACAGTGATTGTTCTTACTATTTTACTTTGTTAGGGTTTAAGAGTAAAAAAACAAGTTTATTTTTCTCTGATCCCCAAACTCTCCAATTTCAAGAAAATTTAAAAAATATGAAATGGCTACTTGCCTTTTCTTTTCAATCACCCTTCATTTTTTTTCCTATCTCCAAACTATCTGAATAAAGTATTAACATTCTGATGTAGTTTCTTATGTGAGAATAAGACTACTTATAGTGGGGAGGTATTAGGAGTCTAAAAAGTTAGAAGTGGAACTTTTTGAGGGCTAAAGTCAGTCTTATGCATGAAAAAATCTCCCTAGATAGCAGGGGCGGAGCCAGGAGGTGAGGGTAGGGGAGGCAAAATGCTATTACATAATATACTCCTCTTAAAGTTTATTAAATTAGTACCCAACCCTGCTGTCAATTTAAAGTACCCAATTTTTTCTTATAATTCTTTTATATTAGATACTTTAAGACGGATATCTCCAATACTACTCCATAATATATTATTAATAATATATTTTTACATACGGAGTACCGAGTATTATTTATGGGGTAATAATCACTTCTTCAAAATATAGTGTTGTTATAGATTAATATTTTCCAAAATGACTACTTCTAGAATATACTACGTATAATGTTTTTATACATGTGATATTTTAATGAAGTATTGAAAAATTATAAATGTAGTACGGAGTATAACTATAAACATATTTTGAACTACTATACTACTAGAGGAAATACAAATTTGGGGGGGGGGGGCAAAAAATTAAATTACAAGTCAATAATTAAAAAAATAAAAATGTTGGGAGGGGCAATGGCCTCCCTATACATATGCATAGTTCCGTCCCTGCTAGATAGTGAGGCGAAGTAGAACAACCAGTTTTAAAGGCGAGTAGTTGAGAATCATTAAGACCTAAAGTGTCTGTTTTGAATTACACACACTGCTTGGCCAAATGGCTTTAGCAGCAAAACCTAAAACACTTTTTATACAAATCAGAGTATTATCTAAACTGCTAAACATATACCAAGTCATATACCTGCATTTTTTCACACGAATGGGTTTATGGGAATATTATGTTCACATGAAGTCATCTGATAAGCTATTAGTTTCCTTTCACTACATATTTAGCTTTTAATTGTATCAAGTAGGGATTTCTTAAGAATTATCACATAAGGGAGAGTTGAAACTGTAAAAACGGTTGGTATGGATTACTACATGAATGCTCTTACAAATAAAACTACTCCAAACACAATCATGGAAAGTTCGAAGTGCAAAATTTTAAAAAGTCTATTTTCGTGGTCAATAGGATTCTTGGCGTTAGTGACTTTAAGGCATGCATTTCTCCTCTGAATGAAACAGTAACTATTTAGGTAGAAAAAATTTATCACCGATTATTAATATTTACCCATGTATTATGCTTATCAATGCAAATGACAACTACAATGAAAGTAGCATCGAAATGGATTAGGGAAAAGTGTCAAATAGGTCCTCGAACTTTCATAAAAAAAGTCAAATAAGTTTACTAATACCAAATTTCAGCTAAAACTTCAATCGGGAACGCATTCAAATTAATTCTTGAAGATAACTGCGCATTTAACTGCACAATTATCTTTAAGAATTAATTTGAATGCGTTCCTTTTAGCTGAAATTTGGTATGAGTAAACTAGACTTGAAGAATAAGATGCTCAAAAAACTTCATTAAAAAAATCCACCGGAAACCGCCCCATATCATGACGGCCAGACAGAGCCTCCTATATACGGACTTATTTGACATTTTTATGAAAGTTCGAGGACCTATTTGACAGTTTTCTCTTATTGAAATAAGATTTTATTAATCAATAATGATAGAAAATGTATCAACAATGGCTTGAATGTTCCTAAAAACTGAGAGTTTTAACTTACATACGGAGTGCTTCGTAAATCGTAAGTAGTATATCGTATATAAAAAGGCATTTGCATTAGGCCTAATTTTTAGATACCGCAATTCGGATAATCTTATCATTATTTACATATATGCTGCTTAATATTCAGTGCCACTGTGCCACAACATTTCATCTTTAATGTAACAGAACACATGTATTTTCTTTTCTTAAAAAAAAATGTATTTTCTTCACTTTATTTATTAGTGAGATATATGCATATATATAACTATTCAAAATAAATAAATAAATAAAAACTATTCAAAATCTATACTACATATGACACAATTTTCCACCGAGTACCGTACCGCACGGATGAAATACTATGCTGATATATACATACGTTCGCATGCATTGGAGATGTTGACTCTAGGAATTTGGAGCTCAAAGGATATAAGGCAAGTACTGGGTGTTAATCATCTTAGTTTCAATATTCATTTTGAAGCTCTGAAATGAATTAGTTTCTAAAAGGCTTCAAGTCTAAAAATGTAACTGAATGAACTGGGGAAGAACTATACACTCTCTCTCAAGAACATAACCAACCACGCTTAAAATCTAGCACAGATACAAGTTTAACTCGTGATGCAGTTAACAAACTAGTTTTGTTGTTCCCCAGTGACACCAAAAGTTAATAGAACACCTTATAGCATGCAGACTTAAGGTAAATTCTCCAAACTACAACCTGATCGTGTGCTATATTCTGCTACAAGCTTGGCAAACAATGATGATTTGAATTCAAGCAAATTCTTAGGTGTGTCATATTCCGCAATCAGACCTGCAGCACACAGAAAAATGAATCAACCCACATATTACCAAGAAGTTTATAAAAAAGACACTATTAGAGTAAGACAGAACAAGAACCAACCATGATCTAATAGCAGGACCATGTTGCTGTCCAGCACAGATGTTATCCTATGTGCAATAGTTACAACGGTGGAGTGGGAAAAGTGTTCCTTGATAGTCTTTTGTATCAGATTATCTGTTACAGTGTCGACTGATGCAGTTGCCTCATCAAGTACCAAAATTTTGCTGCTTTTCTTCAGTAGCACACGGCCAAGACAAACGAGCTGCCTCTGACCCATGCTCCAATTCTCTCCATTTTCAGTAACTGAAATGTTTGTTCCACACATGTAAGAATATAATAGCAGCAACACACGTTGGACTTACGCTAAAGGGGGTCAGTTAAGGACGAAACACACCTGCAGAATCAAGTTTTCTTTTCTTTTTTCTTACTTCATCTCCCAGTTGACACTTATCAAGAGCCTAATAAGAAAGAGATTCACAACCTCACTTTTTCCACTAAAAATGGAAAAATCTAAAAACAATCAATAATGCGCAGCATACCTCCCAAATTTGTTCATCAGGGTACTCATCAAGTGGATCCAGATTGCTACGGATAGTGCCCTCAAACATGATAGGATCTTGTGGAATAATGCTTAACCTCGACCGCAAATCATGCAGTCCAATTGAGGATAAATTGACACCATCTATTGCTATTTCTCCAGAAGCAGGTTCAAGAATACGGAAGATGGTCTGTATTAGAGTTGATTTACCACTCCCTGTCCTACCAACTACACCAGTCTTCTTACCTCCAAACAAAGTACATGTGATGCCTCGTAAAACAAGAGGCATGTGTGGAGCATATCGAACCTAATAGCAAGAATGCATATATGTAAAGTGAACAAGACAAAAAAAAAATCAATTACTTAAACAGATTCATATAGGTAGAGATTTGAATGTACCTGAAGATTTCTGATATCAACCTCTCCAGTTGAGGGCCAACCAGGGTCTGGTCTGTTGGATTCAACGATAAGAGGAGGCTCACAAGGTATCGTGTTGTATTGAAGTATTCTCTCAACTGAAATAATTTTATTCTCCATATTGCAAAGATTCCTTATAACCCCAGCTTGCAACATGTTGAGATTAAGCCCATATGTCACAGCTAAGCCAGCAGTGCCTGTAATATGTTTTATGAACAGCTCTTAATTTGAAAACAAAAAAGAAATTAATAAAAAGGAAGAATAACTCATATTTCTCACTAGCATCAATAGTTCCAACTGGAACAGAGATCAAGATGACCAGTGAAAAGGTAAAAGTGACCAAAGACAGCATATCCAAACGAAAGCAAAGCCACTCCATAGCACCGGCACTGTAAAACTTTGGGCGATTATATCCATCGATCAGCTTCATACTGAAATCACGAAATCGGGTTTCCTGCTCAAAACTTCTAATAGTAGTTGATCCTGAGAGGGTTTCAGCAAAGTGTTGTATTACTGGAGCCTTGCAAACTCCAACTAACCGTTCCAGTTCTCTTGCTGAAGGTATGTAACGTTGCTGCAAATATAGAAGATGAAGGAAGGATTTAAATAAATTGGATTTTATAGATAAGACTGAAAATGTGATATGATAACTCGATAGAGAGTGCTACCTCTAAATGGATGGACATTAAAATCACCCCAATAAAAACAATGAGCACCTGCCATGCAACTTGAGACATAACACCAATGATACTAACAAGCTGAATCATAGTAAAGGCAAAAGATCCAACATGAAACGGAATATCAAGATCAACTGCGCTTTGGTCCGTGGATGCCTGTCATCACGATCATACAAAGTCACAAATTCATAAAGCAGAATTTCAAGTTTAATAATTAAGCAAGATAATGTGTTGGCACCTTGGCATTTGTACTTACTCTATTTAGAATACGCCCACATGGTGTGGCATCAAAGAAAGACATTGGGGCACGAATAATACACAAATGCATTTTATTGAATAGCTGTGTTGCCGTCTTGTACCCAGCAGTCGCAAGCAACAATGATCTACCAATGATACAAAATAAACTTCCAATTGCTAAAGAAACATACACAATGATGAGTGCATGACTTCCCACCGGAGGAGTCTCCCTTTCTGATGCAGGAGTTGCCCATGCCATCCAATAATCGCTTCCAATTTGAAGTGCCTGGAAGAGTATATGTGCCAACAATACGAAGGGCACTAGGGCGCCTCCATATGCAGTAGTGATGTATCTCCAATAAACTAGTAAACTCACATTACCTTTCTCTCTTTCTTCCTCCTGGACGAGTTGGCCTTTTGGTTCCACACCATTACCACGCACACCATTTTCCCCACCCTCGGATTCGGCATTCTGAATTTTTGTCTGCTTAATACTAACCAAGCTACTATTTGCTGTACCCAATACTGCCTTACTTCCCTCATAGACATCTATGGAAGATAAAGCTTCATTGTGGGCACTCACTAGTTCCATAAACTCACTACCCATATTGAGGATGTCATTGTACTTTCCAGCCTGTGTAATTTTTCCATCTTTCATAACCTGATGAGTTGTATATTAATCCCAACAAACTATGCAATGTTATACAAAAAACAAGATACCAGATAGAGAAGTAGAATTAAAAGAAAGAAAATTAGACTAGAATCAAATCAAATAAAATCAAATAAAAAGAAATACAAGAAGATGCTTGCCAAGATCAAATCCGCAGCAGGCAAGAACTCTACTTGATGTGTAACATATACTACAGTCTTTGACTTCAGCAGCCTCATTATGCACTCCTGTTGAACATACAGTAGAGAATAGTTGTTTCACAATGAGTTGAAACATGATGATATGGACATCGTTATATATATAACTATGAAATCATCTATCAAAAACCTGTTCCCTCCTGATCTATTTGTATATATCACGTAATATTGTAGTGAAGTATATCAGTATAACCACTGCGCTGCTAAACTTTATTAATACATGTGTCCTGATAATAATGAAATGAGAAGGAATAACTGCTTTTAAAATTAAAATAAAATTGAAAAATCATTCTGTAGAACCCACGATGCATATAAGATATGACTGATCACAAGAAGTTCCTCAAAGTTCCGTTTATAGTTTGGCAGAGTGCATGCCACATATATATACAAAACTACAAAAAATGATTGGACTTTAAAACGCCTTCAACAAACAAATACAGTCTTCAATATGGCAGTTAAAATGTTTAATCATTTGCACGCACTCCTCGGTCACAATCTATACTTCTAAGTCAAGCCCAGCTATGGAGGCATTTCAGTTTATGACTTCTAATAGTACGTTTTTTTTAAGCCTTGAATAGATGTTTAAAAAATGAGATAGATGGTGAGATGGTGAGATGAACGCATTGAAAATCCATTGGGCCTTAAGGTTGATGTTGATGTTGGTCTAGCATACATGAAAAGATGTCAACAACATTCTAGAATTGAATTTCTATGACACAGACGTATCTTATGGTAAGCACTTTTAAAACTTATGTTAAGCAGTTTTCTATAACACTACCTAACCTACCTTTGAGCACTCAATAATAATATAATAACAGCGGCACAGAGCTTACACTGATTCACAGTAGATTTCGTTGAAAGTAGGAGATTTCATTGTTTCATGTGACACATTACATAGAAGACACACAAATAAGTTTAAGAGCTGACACAATATTCTAATTAATGGCTCATGCTAGATAAAATATGCTTATATAGTTATATTACAGCCTCAACTACAGTATAATCCATTGTTTCCTGATTTCTTAGCATATAAAGTATATAATCTAACAAATTTATCATAACTAAATACATAAGAAGTATTTTTCAATCTAAGCAAGTTTATAAATAAATCACGAAATCCTAGCCTTAGTGTAGTCTTACCCAAAAAAAAAAATAATAATAATAAAGTCTTACCCATAAGAAGTAATTAATCTGCCTGTTTTTCCAATAGCTTAGCATTCATATTGTTAGAGTAATGTTCTATGGTTTGACCTCTAATTAAATGTAATGCGGGCATACGGGGTATAAATTTTGAACCCACAGACACATTGAGGAAACAAAGCTCTACATGAAAAATTCTTCCACGCAAGCAAAACAATTGTAAATATGTTTTAAATATTGAGATTGTTATACATGAGAAAAACATCCCTATAGTACAGCCAATAAAACTCTTCGGGTAAGTAAGAAATAAGAAAGTATAATTAAATATCTTTTCATAAAATGTATACATATTTAATTTCATGGATCTTCCTTTAACGTAAATATATATCTATATTACCATCTCTTTAAGACCTAATGCATATATAATACGTAGTATAAAAAAAGTTATATTCCGTGCATCGCACGGGTAGAATACTAGTTCTAGTTTAAGAAATGAAATTGATTACATATATATAATTGAGCATCAGGTGCTTACATTGAACAGATGAGTTCCAGTATGAGCATCCACGGCACTGAATGGATCATCAAAAAGATAAATGTCAGCATCTTGGTACAAAGCACGTGCAATCTGCACTCTTTGCTTCTGCCCACCACTCAAGTTGATACCCCTCTCACCTATGACAGTTTGATCACCAAAGGAAAGAACTTCCAAATCTTTTTTTAAGCAACATGCCTCAACAACTCTTTCATACTTTTCTCTCTCCATCTTCTTACCAAACAGTATATTTTCTTCAATGTTTCCACTCTGTATCCACGGTGACTGAGATACATAGGCCTTTGTCCCGCATATCTTAACACTTCCTGATAATTTGGGCATTTCTCCCAAAATGCAAGTTAACAAACTTGACTTTCCTGAACCGACAGTACCACAAACAGCAACTCTCATGCCATTATGAACCCGAAGATTAATGTTCATAAGAAATGAAGTCGGAAAGCGGGATTCACTCCAGCTGAAATTTCCTTCAACAATCTCAATTGATATATCAGAACTACCTCTTGGGAGCTTCTCTGTGGCATCTCTTTTGAGGTCATCAAGTGAAAGAAACGATGCGATTCGATCAAGGGAAACTTTAGTCTGAACAATATTTGAAATTGCATCTGGAAGAACGTATATTGCCTCCTGTAGTATCCTAAATGTGGCAAGTGCAGAGAGTACCCTTCCTGATTCAAGTGGAATCCTCATAAGCATTGCAACCACAAAGGTAGCTACAGACACAAGCGTAGGAGCTATCCAAAAGACAAATGTAGACATAGATGAAGTGTAAACATATCTTTTCAGCCATCCAGACTCAATATTTCTGAGGTCCAAGATTTTGGACAAAAATTTCATCTCCCATGCTTGAAGTTTGAGGATTCTCATGTTTCTTAATAGTTCGGACATTGCCTGCATTCTAGAATCCTTGGCTTTCATAAGTTCGTCTTGGAATTTTTCTTGCAATTTCCCCAGGGGGATGTTTGCAAACATCACTAATACAGTGGCAATTAAAGCTGCGATGGAAGCAAGCCCGAGATTCTTGTAGAGGATCGCAAGTGCAAGACCGACCTGTATGAGCACTATCCACGGGTCATGCATGTACGAACCAAAGTTACCAACCCTCTCAGCATCTACAGTCATAAAATTGGTTATCTCTCCACTAGTGTGTGTCTGCTTTGAATGACATGAAAGGGTCAAGGCTTTATCATAGATTTTGGCAACCAGTGCGGCATGTGCCCTATAGCCGGCCTGCTGCACCTTAAACAGAAAATGCCTGAGCGATAAGCACTCGACAATCTTTGCAACTAGGAATACAGAAACCAAAAAGAGACCATATTTTCCCTTGGACTCTCGATTTCCATTGAGAAACCGAACGAATGTGTCAATGAGGTAAGGTCCAACATATGAAGCCAGTGTGTGACAAACTCCATAGCAGGCAGACAAGAGAATATCCTTCCATGCTGTGAGAAGTAAAGCTTTAACAAGCATCAATGTAGTTAATTTATTACTGTTATTCCCATCACGAACAGTTTCTACGACCCTATCTTGGAAGATTGGATAAACCCCTCTAACGCTATCCAAACCAGAAAGCTGAGGAACATCCTTAAGGTCCAATATTTTCTTTTTGCCAATAGAAATTAGAGGACCCATCCAAGAGAAGGTTAGTTTGCTAAAAAAATTGGCTTCGGCAAAGGGAGAAACATTTTTATCCCTACCATTTAACAGGGGTTGCCTAAGAAGCTCATCTCCGCCTTCAATTCCACCGAAAAAACACACCAAACAGAAGAATAAACCCAACACCGATGATACTACGTCAGAAATCCAAAACTGGGCCGGTAAAGTTCCAGTCTTTTTACAATAAAGAATGTCTACGGCTAGGCAATAACAAGAGAAGGTGAAGAAAAAACCCCACCAGACTCTTAAAAAAACAGGGCACTCAATAATCTCACCTGAACTCAATTGAGTGGACAAGAAAAAGAAGATTACAAACCAAGAAACAGTTTTTGTTGAGGCATCCAGCAGGGTTATAATTTTTTCATCAGACCAACCATTTGTATACCAATAAAACTGACAAAGGAAAGCGAGAACAAAATTCAAAAGCGAGAGACCCAAACAACAGAAAACGGCTATTTTCAAGTACCTGGGATTCTGTTTTCTCACAAGGTCGGCAGTGTTATCGTCTTCATTCCACTGTATTTTCTGTCTACTAATAGCAGTGTCTTGTTTCACCTTCATTAACAACCAATATATAAAAAGAAAGAGCAACAAACCAGCATGCAGTGAAGCAGAGACGGCGTGAAGGAACCCAGGGTTGATGATGAGAGGGCCGCCTCCTAAGGAACTCAAACTAAAGTGGTGAGAAAACAGGAACCCAAACACGGCGGATTGAGATTGTGCAACTTCCATGGCGGCTTTAGGGAGATCCTTTAGGTTTGAATGTTTAAAGACGCTGCCTGATAGTAGTAGTGTGTGTTTTCTCTTCTGGAGTAAGGCAGGGGTTTAGTTCACTATGGAGTGGCGTGGGCCCAGCTGGGAAGTCAGAGACTCCCAGACATGATCAACTTCCGCTATTCGTAATGGAAAGAGGAATGGCAATCTGGTCTGGGCGGAATAACGCGCGCATCTGTCAAAGGCAGGTATGAATCGTTCCCGCTTAAATACCTGCCAAAAGAAGCACTTGGTGGATCTTTGGGGAAAGAACACTTTTTAAGGTGTTTTTCTTTTTTTCTTCCAAAAACTATGTTAATTACCCTTTTAAACAACTACTTTAGTGTTTCTATGCTTTACAAACTTGAAACTTTTTTTTAGGAATGGAAACTCACCTCTATTCATATCCTTGGTTTTAGGATCGTTACATCAACCAAAGGAAAATCAAATATGACACCAACTAACCTCCCAAAACTAAAACTATAAACCATACGATGAGTCTTAGAAACGGTCAACTCTAAAAGAGCAACATGAATCGCTAACCATGTAGCGGGCTTGACACAGTTGTCCCTGGTTCTATAGATCCATATACTCACAATGACATAAAAACAGACAAAGCTTCTAAACAAAATGACAACCCTAAGAACATAGACGTTAACAAGAATCCAAATGCAGAAAAACAACAACTAAAAGCATAACTTTCACGGACCCTGGCATTTTGTTTAGCCATGGCGGTGGTTCGGGAGGAGTCCGTACCATCAGTACCACTCTAATTGAATCTCCATTGTTGATTGAAATCTGACCTACGCGAATCCCGACCAACTTCCGCTCCACACTCGTACCAACACAGTTGCTAGCTGTTATCTTGTTCAGTGCCAAGCCCTTAGATGCACTCATCTGCCTTACTGCTCTGCAAATAGGCACCCATTCGGCACCCACGTATCTGAAAGAAGGTGGACACCTGCAAAAAAACAAGAACAAAACGAGACAGAAGCTTATTTCGATCTGTTGCTCTGCCTTCTTGCCGTAGCCGCGCCTAATAGTACTGCCGCATGGAAGAAATTATAATAGAATCGAGAATAATCCAAGCTCTATTGATCAACAAGCCTCTACCCAACGAAATCTTCCACTAACCGAGCAACCGGGCTTGCACCGCTGGCCGGAAAATCTTACCTTAGGAGCGACCGCGTATTATTCTTGTAATTTATACAGAAAGATTTATTATGAAATGCAAATCAAACTTGAAAAAGTAATAAAAGATAGAAGAAGCAGGTAGTTCTCTCTTCTTAATGAGAGTACTTTATTGTTGCACTACAGTTTAGTTTACCCACGTTTGGTAATTATGTTTTTCAGTTTATCAAGCTTATCAACCAACTTTTTCACCAAACACGCAATTTTTTATTTTGCGCGCTGAATTGTGTAATGATAAGAAAAAGTAAGGTTGAAGTTACTTTTCTAGTGTATTGGCTGATGTTACTTTTACTTTTATGAGAAAATTAAATTTAAAATATTTTTATCAATAAAATAAAGTAAGGTTGAAGTTACTTTTATTTATTTTATTAATAAAAATATTTTAAATTTAATTTTCTCATAAATCGACAGAATCGACCAATGCAGTCACTTCAACCATAACTTCATAAATTCTAGTAGAATCGGCCGCCGATTCATGTTACTAAACGGGCTCTATAAGGTTTGTTTGTAAAATCATATACGGAGTAGGAGTATTATAAGTTATAAAATTATTTTCGATCTCATAAATACATATATGCATTCATACTCTCTATCTTCATCATCTTTATATTGTTTTTTCCTTCACTATTTTTTTTTGTATAATTTTATTCCTTAATCTCTTATTTTAAAAAAAAAAAAAACAGAAATGTGCTTTAAATTATGAAATAAAAACTTAAGATCGTGTTTGTCTGAAAATGTATTAAACTGCAAATGATACCAATAGTGTAAATTGCAACGTTCACATATATTATGATTTTAAATTTCTTAGTTACTACTTATCATCTAATAATAAAATATAATAAATTATTATAAATCTTGTAAGGTCCCAATGATGGTTAGGGCATTTTAGGTATATAAAATGTGTTGGTGTAATATTATGCATTGAGTGGTAGTGGTTGTAGGATAAGTTTCCATGGTTATACTCTTAACGTCTTTGGCTCTTAGCATCTGGGTTTCCGTTAAGTTAAAACCTTTCATCATTCAGTACTTCTCCGTTTCTGTTATCTACATTTTTCCAGCATTATCTCTGCTCCCGTTTGAAATCAATTAGGTAAAAAGGAGATCATGCCCCTAGAAGAAGGTTTAGGCGTTAGATTCAAATTCATAAAAATGTTCCCCCTGTTTTCAACCGTTCAGGTCATCAGGTATTCAGGTGTACTTTGTGAACTTATTCTCCATGTCTCATCTCACCATCATTCTCGATCAATTAAAGTTTATTTTTGAAGTGAACCGTCTGCATGCTATCACCGAGTGATTTTTTGTTCTTTTTAGTCTTTTCACCAAGAAAACATTGAATGTTATCCTTCAATGAGTTTTCGACATATTACTGTTTTTTTTTTCCTAATGGATTGTACGTGTGCCGATTCTCACCACATCAATTATCAAACGAAGAATTGTGCTAGGTCAATTGAGACAGTACAATTTTGTTCTGTCACCACTCTTTCTTTGGTTGCTATATGGCATTGCAATCTTTTTTCTTTTTCAATTTGTCATATTTTTTTATTTATGATCCAATTTTCACAAAAAAAATATAATCGTATATCAAATTATTTTTTCCCTGATCATTTCAATGGCACGGGTGTATTGCATAGAAAAAAAATCTATTTTCCTAAATATCTATTTCCAGCATGACTTTTAAAAAATATTAAATATGCAATATTAATACCATATGAAAGATCATAAAAAATAAAAAAATGCAGATATATCTTATTAGAATAATCAGATAATAAATGAGAAAGTTATGACAATTGCAAAAATAAAACGAATTACATGCCACAGCCTAATAGGGAGGGATGACTATTCTCTTATTACAACAATAATGGAATAAAAAGTAAAAGACGTGTGACTATTCTCTTATTATTAGGGGGTGTTTGGGACTAATTCTGATTCTGCTTCTTTTTAAAGCAGAATCAGAATCAGTTTTTAGAATTTGGTCTCCCCCAGCTTTTAAAAAAACTGATTCTAGGAGTAAATTAGAGTACCATAATCGATCACTTCTTCACTTTCACTCAATCACTCCAACTTCTGCTTCTGTTCCCTGAAGGAGTAAAAGCAGATTTAAGAATCAGATCCAAACACTCTCTTAGTTACTTGGCGACATTGGCTCTCCTGGGTATTTATGTAACTTGGGATTTTATTTAAATTGTTTTTATGTTTGCTACGTTTTAATTGTATTTTATTTTTTCTTATCTTAGAGGTTGCTGGAAAGTGATTTTATTTTGGACATCGAACAAATATTTGCACAATAAGCACAATTTGTACTTGATCTTTCCCACACACACATATATATATATATAGTTGGCAGGTGCTTTGCAACAACACATCTCACAGCACAGTTAGCACAAACGTTTTCAGCTAAAATCATCTCCAGCTTTCCAAAAATTTCTTAATGTTCACACTTTGTTCTCGTTCGCCGAAACTTTCATTTGTGTGCTCAAACAATTTTTCGTTAGGGCATCCTCATCCATAGTTTTTTTAGGGATCATTTTGATGATGTGGATGATTTTTTAAAAGATGATTGTTGAGGAGTTGAGATTATTTTATAAGATTATTTTGAAAGAAAATCTGGTATAAAATATCAAATCTGGATTATTCTCAGATTATTCTCAAACTTTAAAACAATCTTCCACTCTGGTATTTACACGCATTGTTGGTTGGGAAACGGCGACTCTTCGGATCAAACTATGGCCAGGAACAAAAATCATATGACACAACTATGATTTAAATTAAATCATTTAATTATCAAGTTTGTGTTCAGGTTATAGTATATTTAGTAAAGTTAAATATAATTTAATAAATTAAAATATATCTATTTAAACTCAAATTAATTAGTACTGTTTAAATTTTACTCAATTTGAAATTTGTTAGTCGGTATGGTAACTGGTAATGATGAATGTTTGAAATATTTTAGAAACTAGTACGTAGCTTTTTTTTGAGAAACTAGTACGTAGTTGAGATACATAAATCTGTAGATATTTGTAATAACTTATTCATTAATGAATAATCAATAGTACTAATTTATTCATTAGTACTATATATAACCATATAAACAAATTTGTAGATATATGTATACATATAAATATATAATTATAGATGGCTTAGTCACTTAGTGACTAAACGTACCAGACTTGTTTAAATGAGAGATTTTGAATTTAGTGCATGTCCCATAAAAAACTAAAAAAATTGAGATTGTGGTTGAGAAGAAGTTATCAAGTTTTGAGATTTTTTGTGGCAATGAAGTGGCAATGATGTGGCAATAGTAAATCATAAAAACCCGTTTACTTGAAGATCATGAATGTAGATGCTCTTAATCATCGTATCCTGGGAAACGGTCATTGCAACACTCCTAGCACCGTGAGAGGAAACGAATATGTTTAAGGACATCGTGCGTAACACGAGCTCTGGCTTTTCTGTTCCATCTCATTTTGTTTTCTTTTGCTATTTTATTTATTAACTAATTTTATTTAATTAATTATTCTTCTTTTCTGAGACACACTCAACAAATTCTGGACAACCCGCTTCCGGGAGGAGGGCCTCCGCTTCAGGGGACTCCCCGGCTCACCGTCGGAGTCATCAGCCACTATGATGGCTTTGGAGGCGGTACCATCAATGCGGAGCCTCTTCGAAGCCCCGTCCTCTGGTGCGTCATCTGACCGCCTCCTGCTCGTCCGAGGCTCAATTTTGGGGACGAGCGGCTTCCTGCCCTTATCCTCATGCCTGTTGTCGCGGCCACGGGCATGCGAAATAATATGATTGCGCCCCATGGATGATATAGTTGGGAATACTCCTGCAGGAAGAAAATCAAGACGTTCAGAATCGTAACAACTAGAAGATGACAGGACAATGCAAGTACAAATAGACGCACCTAGCCCGGCCCGGGCCTTGAAAGGCTCGGCCACCAGCGACCGGAGGTTCTGAACGCCAAGACCAGCTACGCGCTTGGCATAGCCGAGCTCCTCATCCGTCATGGGCGGCGGGATGGACTTCACCGGATAGGCGTTCCACCTATCGGAGAATGGCATCGGGGAGCCCACTTCGGCAAGGAAGAACCGCTCCTCCCAGCCGTCCGGATTCCCGGCGTTGTTAGAAAACAGGACCATGGACGGACGCGCGATCAGGGTTAAATACCCCGTACGTCCGAAAGGAGATAGCCGGAAGAAATGTTGCAGCAGGTCCACGGTGGGGGTCACGTCAACGCTGTGACATCTAATTATAAAACCCGCGATGATCCTATAAGCAGCAGGGACGAACTGAGCGGGTATCACCCGGAGGTCCCTAAAAAGCTCTATGTGGAAGCTGTGGAGGGGAAACAGGAGGCCGGCTATGACAGAGTCCAAGTGGACCACCACGTAGCCGGGCAAATGGCGCATTGGGTTGCGCAGAATCCGATCGTCGTAACCCCTTGGGGGAAGGAACCATTGGCTTATCAACCGACGATCGGCGTTCAAGAGACGCTGGCGCTGGCGACGAACGCAAGAGAAATTCAGGTGATGACGGGGGGGCCACGGTGGCATACCCCGCTCATAGAACTCTAGGTCATCACCAGAGGAGCACCCATCGTCAAACCTATCAATAGTTTGGGACCCTGATATGGACAGAGACATGACGACGTTCGGTACCTACAGATGCTGAAGTCGGAAGCGATACCAAAGGAAGCTAGAGAGAGGAAATGATTGTGCAGCACAAGAGCGAGAAATGGAGCAAATGGAGGTTTCACAAGGCCTTGGGTACTTATAGGCAGCACCGCGAGGCTGCGCCAATCACGGTGGAACACGTGGCATCCGGATACCGGTACCTACCGCGGTATTGAAGGCTCCTCGATGTTATCACCTCACAGTCACTGCGAATTAATCTGGCTTGATGCCACGAACGTCCCTCGAAGGGGCAAACAGAGGACGAACCTGCAAGCCAAATTCACAGGAAGACGTGTGTGTGCCTGAAGGTCCCATGTTCACATCAGACGCACGTCCGAGACGGGTACCTGGCTTAAGCACAGGCGCAAAAGGGTACGCTACTCCGGAAGCGGCGATCTCCCCCATCAAGACATGGCTCGGGGAAGCGCATCCGACGAGCGTACTCCGGGGGGTTACGGCCGCAACCCGTGCATCTTGGGGAGTGGTTTACATATGTGATGCTCCCAAAGCATACGCTCATACCCCGATGGATCGAGGAACAGGAATGGAGTGTGGACGTGAGCGACCCCACGGACGGTTACGCAAATAGCCAAGAGACGGGCGTCTTCACCAACTGATTCGAAAGAACTGCCGCATCTTCGCACGTCTTCCTTCTGACGAACGGATTTGGGGATGGAATATATGTGGGGTGCTCTCAGGCATACGTTCGTATCCCGAAAGTTTGGGACGCGAGGGCAAGTTATGGACATGAACATCCCCGAGGAAAAACGAAAAACTACCAACGAAGAAAGGAGATAAAAAGAGTTCACGAGCGTAGAGACAATGATAAGGCAAAAAAGAGTTGTATATTCTTCGGCTCTACTGGCCGGATAAGTACAGGATCAAAACAAATAAACTACGAACTACACTACACAAAATTTGGAGAAATGGGCCGGGATCCCCCAGGGATGGTTTCCTCTTCCTCCTCAGGTTCGGGCTCGGGGGACGGGGGCTCTGGGACCTCCCCCCTGGCCCTGGCCTCCTCCCGCCGGGCGTCCCGTCTCAGCTTGCCCACGGCCCGGATCAGCTCTGGGTCTGAGGTATGCTCGGCCAGATCAAATCGGGGGCCCTGAAGAGCGGCAAAGACCGGCAATGTGGCTTTCACCCCCTCGTTGAAGCCAATGACGAAGGAGCTATCCCCGACATCATACAGGAACTTCTCGGCCAGGGGCGCACTCTCCAGGATTCGGACCCCGAATTTGAGGCGGTCCTTGGGCGCCTGCTTTTGCAGCTCGGCAGCGAAGACATCACCAAAGGCGCCCCCAAGGTACCTCTGGGCGGCAATCATGAAGGCCCCGGAGTTGTGGTACCCAGAATCGTCGACGAGCCATTCAGGGGTTTCGTCTTTGGGGGCAGGGAGAGCTGGGACGAGCTTGAACCCGGCCTTCTCGAGGACCGCGAGCTTCGCGGAGGACTCACGAGCTGCCTTCAGGGCGGCCTGCAATTCTTTATCCTTGGCCGCAAGCTCCTTTTCCTGAAGACGAGCGGCCTCTCTCGCCTTCTTCAGAGCAGCATCTGCCTTGGTCTTCGCCTGGAGGACCTCGGCATCTCGGGCAGCCTCAGACTGCAGAACGGAGAGCCCGACCTACAAATCGGATGCGGGAGGTGAGACTTCAAAACATTAGAATAAAAGTGATCAGGCAACACGCGCGGAGCGAGATCTTACCTGAAGAGCGGCGGCCAGGGCCGCATTGGAGGCTTCCGAAGACGTGCGGGGAGGCATCTCCACGCCGGCCAGAGAGGCAACCTCCTGCCAAACGTCATGCGCCGGACGTCCGAGAGAGGGGAGGATCACCCCTTGCCCTTCAAGGGCCGAAGAACCAGTTCCCCTGGGCCTTTTGGACTTTTTGTCCGCTTTCTCCCCCTCCTGGGGATGGACGGCCTGCAGAGGCGCCACAACCTCGGGGACGCCAGAATCAAGGACTGGGGCCTGGGACCCTTGTGCCAACACCGTGGCAATGAGGTGCTGCTCCGCCTCCACGGTGCGACGATCGGCCTGGGAGGCGGAAGAGTTGGAGTCAGCTGCCTGGACGGTTTTGGCCTTGGCAAGGGCAGCGTCGGCCGCGGCGCCCTTCCCCTTCCGATTCTTGAGGAGTTTTTCGTGATTCATCTGCTCCTGGGTTGGGGGAAGACCTGAAAAAGACAAAGGAAATGGGTTAGATGGACGAACGTCAGTAAAAAATCACCTCGGAGGAGAGGACCGCCCAATACCCCGAGACGAGCGTAGAAGGGGAGATGTCCAAGAGCATGGGCGGTACCTATTCCTGCCGCGGCGAGCGCCTCGAAGGTTAAGAAGTCGTCTAAGGGGCGGATGCCGCCCGTCGAGATCTTTTTGATGTCCTCCTGCAGATCGTTGGTCAGCTCCGGAGATCCAATCTTGGGCGGATAGCCATTCCAACGCAACGGCAGACGAGCATCCGCGTACCGCACGAAGAAAAACCGATTCTTCCAGTCGTGGATGGAGCTCGGTGCTCCGCTGAACAACCTCCGTTTCGGACGAGCAGCAATGCTCAGGAAGCCGTCAGAATTTTGGGGGGTGAGCCGGTAGAAATAATGGAACAAGTCCAGAGTGGCGGTGACCCCGTGGTCCTTGCAACGGACTAGGAAGGCGGAGAGCCACCGATAGGAATTCGGCATGAGTTGTGCGGGGGCTATCTGGTAACAACAGAAGAATTCCACGAAGAACGGATGAAGAGGGAAGCGCAGCCCAGCCTCGATGGAATCCAGAAGCACCATAATCATCCCTGGGCGTCTCCTCATCACGTGGGTTGCACCACGTAGGCTGTATACGGACGGAGGGGGGAAGAACACCTTCAGTTTGTTGAGGGCCACCGGCGAGAAGATCTGCTCATGGCACAAGACATTCTTGATCGGGCACAGATGCCTCTCCACATCTATCTTCAGCCCAAGTTCGAATACTTCGATGTCGGAGCCATCCTGAGCCTCAACCCCAGAGTCATACCCGTCTGGACGCTCGTCCTCACCAGCGGGCTCCTGTTCCCCGGCTTCAGCCACAGGATCCACAACATCGAGGGCCATATTCCCTTGCTCCCCCAAGTCGGCACCTTCTTCACCAGGAACCACCACAGCAACCACATCTTGGGCATCCCCGGCCTGGACCGTTCCCACGGTAGAGGCTGAACCGGAACTCCCGGAAGTGCTAGTCTCACCCGAAGAGCGTGAACCGGAGTCAGAGGAGGAGCCCGAAGAAGAACCCGATGAACCCGAAGAAGAACCCGATGAACCCGAACCAGAACTCGATGAGATCTCCATCGAAACCATCTCGGCAAGAATTCAAGACAAAGGAAAGAAGCAGGGGGTGGAAATTACCTTAGCAAGGAGTTAGCCGAGCTTGGATTCAGGAAACTTGAAGAGCTGCAGAAAATCGAGAGCAAGAAAGCAGAAATTGGGAACCCTAATTCAGAGGGAAAACCCAGCATTTATAGGAGAAACACCGATGAAGAAACGAATGAGGGGCTGACACGTGGCAAGGAGCGTATTCCGGCCCACGCGCTGTGCGTGGGATGGAAACGTAATGATGACACTTCCTCGGGAAAATGCGCCGCCGCAACATCAGCCGTCACCTCGTTTCCTGAACCGTCAACGGCTGTCAAGCACCATGACCACGAACGTACGCTTCCACCAGGTGCAATAAACACAAGTACCAAGATACGGACGTCCACTTCGGGGAGGTTCATACTTCCTTATGTCCTGCGCATGCTCAGAACATCAGAAGTGAGGGACTTGTGTTGGGTTAAGGGCCCAAGCCGAGGTCCGGCCCACTAACCCATTTTGCTAGACGAACGTCCAGTTAGAACACTAGGCCAACCCACGGGCCCATGTTCCCTGAGGATGGACGAACGTCTGGTGTTGGGGGACTCAGGCCCAGCAGCTCATCCCGACGAACGTATATGCAGGGACAAGGAGCAGAACCACGGGCCACCAGGGATGGCGACGAACGTCCCCACTACAAGCCTGTAGTCATCGGGGAAACCCAGTCCGCATGACGAATACCATCCAAGGCCAGGAGACGAACAGCCGATATCTCTCAAGGGTACACTTGGAGCAATCCAACTCACTTCCCGGGTGGATGAACGTCCCCACTAATCCGGCGGGAAACCTAGATTCTGGCGGGAAGTGCATTTAATGCTAAAGATTTGGTAGTTGGGACACCAGCGGTCCACAGGCTGCCACGTCACTACAGCCACCTGCCCATTGGCGGGTATAAATAGAAGCATTTATTTCATTGTAAGGGGTTGGCAACTTTCTATTCTTAGCACCCTAGCTATAGCATTCTATTCGCAGCACTTCTACTGCCTTGTAAGACGAACGGCCGACGGAGCCTTAGCGATAAGTATTGTATTAGGGAGTTATTAAGAGATAATAATACCTAATCATTTACTTGCTACTTATTTGTTTCTTGATCCTTATCATCTGTCTGTTGGGCTAGTTACTCATACGCACTCCACTCGAAATCTTTGGGCTTACGTGTTGGGCCTGAAGGTTGAAGGAATAAACTTCAACAGCCATGAAAGAAACATATAAACAAAATTGAAAACACCGATTATGAATACCTTTTTCTATATTGAATCAAAGAAGGTTGAAAGAAGAGAAGAAAAGAAGAAGAAACAAGACTTTAAAACATAAGTAAAAAGTCTTAAGTGAAGCTAAGTCTAAAAAGAATATATATACATTTAATTTTAGGTAGAACCTATTGTTGTATTTAAAAGCAACAAAATTGTTATTCAATTAATAAAAGACAATCATCTTCATTCTTCACATTTCTTTAGGATGATGAGAATAACCAACACGATTTGGCCCGTGACTGAGAGCAAACAGTGGACATAATTGTGTGGTGAGAACTAAAAGTGGTTGATACTCGAATGAGGAAATAATTAAGTTGGAGATAAACAATGCTTCAGACATGGGAGTGTCTCCGATGACGTTGAATGAAATCGGGGGGATGGCCAATTATCCTCACAAATAAGGGAAAGGTTAGGCTATGCTTTTATTGCATGTGAGTTTAAAGACACAAGGAAGCAGGAGGTAGGTCTGTAGATGCCAAAACAAAGGCAGTGTCGGGCAGGTGGAAGAGGAGATGGTAGTGGAAGCGCAAATGATGATGGCGCTGGAGTCTGATGTCGGAAAACAGGTTGAGACGGGCTCTGGGTGACAGGCTCGTCAGGAAAATTGGAGGCTCAATGTGCGGCTTGCCGCATTTGTCTACTTAGTTTCTCCTTTTCTTCTTAGAGTGTGTCGATTTTTAACATCTGTCATGTTTTTGTTTTTACAAGCCTTGACATTGAAATGAGTCTTGTTTTGATTGTTTTCTAGAGGTAAGAGGTGGATGTTTTGAATGAAATGGTCATTATAGGCTTCAAGTTACTTGTCTCCCGAGGTTAGTTGGTTATTATGCTCGTTCAAGAGTGAGTGAGTAACTCTATGTATAATCGTAAGACTTGTGACCGAAGGGTGAGTGTTTGTCTCATTAATGGTCTACGACTTTGTGATATATCAATATAAGCTTTTTCCATTAAAAACTTGGAACGAAGACCAGATCTATGCGTAAGCGATCCGGATCTGGTATGGACGAATCGCTCCCATTGGAACCAATTTTGAGATTTGGATGGGAATATGCTCACCCAATCACTCCTATCCATATCTAGTATCACCTATGTGCCTATTAATGGGCTGAGCCTAGACCAATATCCGATACGGACCCGATTATTTTTAGCGGGTATGGTTCTATATTTTACTCTACGTATTCGGACCCATATTCAGACTTGTTAGTATTGTTAATAAATGAGTCGGATATAATACAAATGATTCCCACCCAATAAGGCCCTTTACCCATTTAAAATTTCTTATTAGCACACACACAAACACTAATACATACATATTATACAAGTGGCACTGAGATAATGAGATACCCTAAAACTAATACACACTTATACATATTAAAATAAATGCGTGTGTTGGGCTAGATAGGCACAGTTCAATATTTTAATATATTACTCTGGAGTATTATTATATCATACTTCGTATATGATATGCTTTCATACTATGAGTAGTCCAATGGACTGTTTTGTGACCTAATTTCTAGTCTATTCTACGAGCTTTTTGTATCGAGAGAAAGATATATAGAGTGTGGAGCTATATGCCCCTAGAAGAAGTGGTCCTTTGGATATTCGTACTAATTTGCTATGTGACCTTGATTTGTTTAAAAAGAGGAGATTTATTTTGCTGTTGAGTTTTGTTTATTATTAATGACAATTATAACATTGTTTTTTTGGAACAACGATTGTAACATTGTTATTGTTTCACTTCGCTAGTTTTTGCACTCATTTCATATATATTGTTATTTTCACATATCATATTTTGTAGGTCTACTCGATCCAGTTCCGATCACATACTTTCAGACCCACCAATTAAACGAGCCAGGTCAAACTATTTTATTAACTTAACGGGTCTAGGTTTGAAACGTTACGATCCTATCCGGACCTGACCATAGGTCTAGGGCTGCACATCGGGCGGGTTGGGTCGGGTTTGCTATATTTTTTGAGCCTACCCGATTTGTTCGGGTTGACTATTAACCAACCCGCGGTACGCAAAATAAGTTGGTAAACCATGCATGAGCGGGTCGGGTAGGGTCGGGTATTGAAAAATAAATCACTTCGGGTTGCATCTTTCATGTGGGAAATTAATGTAACTAATTTAAACCTTGATTAACTTGTTTCCAAAACATACAAACAAATACAAGTACTCATGTCTTTTATCAGAAAAAGATTAGGTAATAGTATTAAAATATCCTTTCGTAAAGGAAGTTCATTTAGAAGGAAACATAAATATATAATAGTCATCTAGTCAAAACAGTAAATGTTTAATTATAATTCTAATATCATAAAGTCCTAGATAGAGCACGTTAATCTTAAATTGAATTTATCCAAGAAAACATTGTAGCATAATAATAGTAATAAAATGAACTTCGGCCGGGTCGGGTACTATCGGGTTTGAGATTTTAATTTTGCAACCCTACCCATTAGGTACAGGTTCAAACATATTTAACCCATGAATATTTTTTAAAATCAAATACCCGATTAAATAGGATCGGGTAGGATTGGGTCGGACGGGTTATGCGGGTTCGGGTTATTCTTGTGCAGCCCTACATAGGCCTAATCCGCTGTCCATATCTCCCGACTCTACCCAACAACTTATTCGGGTCGAGGCCCCGAAGCAAAACCCCTTATTTCAAACTGTAAAACATACTGTCCGACCTCTTTTAGTCCCCGTCGGCGCCCTGAGAGCAGAGGAAAGAATGCTCTGATCCGAAACTCCTGCTCATTTCATTTTTTCTCAGCAATGAACTGCTCAAGTATGGAGAAACTCTTTGTCACTTGTTCTTGCTTGCAATTTTGTGTTTATACGCTTTAAACCTATGTTGAGCCGTCAATGCACTTATATGCTCACTCATTTACATTCTTATGTCTCTAACCTGTCAAAGTGCCGTTTTTACAGTTTCCGGAGAGGTTCCGGAGGACCCAGTTGTCTCCCTTAAGTCTGGGCTTCTTTTCGATAAGCGTTTAATCGAACGGCACATTTCGGTGCGTGTGATTCCTCTCTACATGTATGCGTTCTTCATAAGATATAACAATTTGATTTCACAATCTTACTGCTACTCGCATATGTTGTCTTGATTAGTAGAATGTCTGTGGACCTTGGAAGTATTTTTTGTACTAAGATTTTGGATCTCCTCACGTCTGTTCTTGTTGCTCGAAAAACGTGAATTTTGAGATTTGAATAGTGTAGTGTTCCTCCAATTTGAAATTGATAAGTGCATCCAATATTGATGGATTTAGAGGGAACTGTAAGTGCAGCTGCAGTTGACAGGGAGCTGGCTCACTATCAGGGACCTACATTTACTCCCCAACCCCTAACACATCAATGCAAACTATTTTGCTTGTATAGCCAGTTACCCCAAAACTTTTTATAATGTACACTATTGCTAGAATTGATGATAGACTTTGATGCTGTCCACAGTTCCAATGTTTTTTTCTGTCTAATCTTTGATGTAAGCAAATTTCCAGTCCAACTTTATGCAATGAAAAGGTCTGTGCAGAGACAGATCATCATGTATATATTTCCATGTCTTTATTTTAGGAAGATCCCTTTTTGTGTGAAATGTGTGTGAGCTAACTATTAGTTTTATATTGTACGTAGTAATTGTTACATGGTATCTATATTAGGAGGCATTTGTGTACACTAGATTTTTTTTCTGTTTTAAACTTGAATTTATTTGTGTAGGATTATGGCAAATGTCCAGTTACTGGAGAGCCTCTTACGATGAATGATATTGTTCCAGTCAAAACAGGAAAGGTCTGTGCCATAATTATATGTTGCCCAAGTGATAACTTTTGAAGTTGTCATTGTTTATTTTAAATAATTCTATGATGTTACAGTATAGAAAAATATGCTTCCTCTATCATAAAGCTTAACCACATTTATTTGGATTTGAAGGCTTGAAGCTTATCCTTGTATCTTTCGCAGATAGTGAAGCCCCGACCTGTTCAGGCTGCAAGCATTCCTGGGATGTTGGGAATGTTTCAGATTGTATGTGCTAAGACTGAATAATATGTGCATCGATCTTTTCTCTTAGATGATGGCCATATGACGGCCTTATTATCTGCTTCTGATTTTCTATTTAATTGTTACATTTTCCATTCTCCCAAATAGGAATGGGATGCTCTGATGCTATCCAATTTCGCACTGGAGAACCAATTGCATACTGCAAGACAGGAGTTAAGTCATGCGTTATATCAGGTAACCATAAGTAGTCCATTTCCATCTTGGTACCCGATACAAAACTTTTCCAGCTGAAATATTTTTACATTCTGCACATTTTGGTTTCTTTGCTTCTACCCACACCCATTCCCCTGAACGTATTGCTATGGTGTTGGGAAGAATGCTACTTCTAGTTTCCATCTTACAACCTTTGTATGCTTGTTTAATCTATTTGTTGGCAGCATGATGCTGCATGCCGTGTGATTGCAAGGTTGAAAAAGGAAAGAGATGAGGCAAGGTCATTACTTGCACTGGCCGAAAGACAGATACCCAACACATCAGCTACAGACACTGCCACCGGCTCTTCCACTTTAAGCAACGGGAAAAGAGGTTATTGCTGTTGGTACTTGTATATTTTATCACATTTTGTTAATGTTTATTTCATATGACATTGTATAGTTATATTTTATGTTTATATCCATAGCTGCTGAAGATATGGAGATAGATCCCGGAGGAAAAAGAATTTGTCCAGGGATTTCATCTGCAATTATTGATGAGCTTTCAGAATGTAATACTACTCTTTCACAGCAAAGGAAAAAGCGACAGGTAAATCACCTTCAAGCTTTGTAATATTAGACTTGGAATATATGTTGATGGTGTTATTTTTTTTAATTTTCTTAACATTACTGATTTTTGCACTCCAGGCTCCACCAACATTGGCTTCCTTGGATAGTTTGGAGAGATACACCCAGCTGAACAGTTACCCTCTTCACAAAACCAACAAACCAGGGATACTTTCTTTGGATATATATTACCCTAAGGTAACCATAAATGCATTTACAGTACAAGTTGTGATAGTTCATACTCACAAGTCATTCAAGCTAATAAATTTCCAAATATTGCAAAGTTGGGTTTATTGTACTGGCTTCTGGATAATTACTATTGCTGCAATCTTAAAATACAAAGAAGCATTGTTGGTTCAGTACTGCTTTCAGGGTTGAAGAAATAAATTTACAGAACCATATGTGCTCCTAATATATAAGCATTCTGTACTCTGAAGTTACATCTTTCAATAACAAGCTCAATAGAGATATATGTGTGTTTTCCTACATTTTTAAGAGGTGGGGGTTGTACTGATTGTTTATGCAACGAACATGCCGAAAGGGATTGCCTGTCACGGTCTTAATATACTTTATCCATTTAAGCGATAATATGTCTTTGTTTATTGTTGGTAGTATACCTCACTTAAACTCTTATGTTTCTTATTTTCTGCTTTGGTTATCAGGACATCATTGCTACTGGTGGAGTCGACAGTAATGCTGTTGTCTTTGACCATCATTCAGGACAAATTATATCTACTCTAAGTGGTCACTCAAAGAGGGTGTGTTTAACAATTGTATTTTAATTCCTATCTTGCATGTGTCAATTTTCATTGTCATGTTTCGTAATTATTAACATCCCATTGGTTTACTCTTTTTGTTGGTAGGTTACCAGTGTCAAATTTGCTTGTGAAAGTGAAACGGTGATTACCGGTTCTGCTGATAAGGTGAAGCTTTGTGATAGTATATTTTAAATACGTAGTATTTTATTGTCAACCTGATGCCATATTCTTTTACAGTATGCATTATGCTTCTCCCACAGTAATTAATTTTTGCTTTACTCATGTTTGTTCTTCCCTGCAGACTGTTCGTGTATGGCAAGGATCTGAAAATGGAAGCTATGCTTGTAGACATGTTCTGAAGGATCATACAGCAGAGGTTGCTAATTTCGTGCTCTTTTAATGAACAGATGATTAGTTGTAATTTGTAAATGAGTAACTCTATTTCCTTTATTAAAAATGAAAAGGAAGAATAGTCGATGTCTGGTTTCAATTTGTTTTAGTATGCCCTAGATTTTTTTTGGGTGGAAAACTATGATGAATGAACTAAGAAGCTCTGATATTTTTTTATTGTTAACTATCTAAACAGCATAACCAGTGGTTTGGAATCTTTTTTCTTGAAAGTACTCCCATCACAACCTTTAGCAAACATTGTAAACAAGAAGTGTGAATATAATAAATATAATTATAATAAAATGCTCTTCGTACTTGATAATTGTTGAATGGTTAGTTTGTCCTCAATAATGGCAGGTGCAATCCGTTACTGTTCATGCAACAAATAATTATTTTGTGACTGCTTCTCTTGACAACACTTGGTGTTTTTATGAGCTTGCTTCAGGTGTATGCCTTGCTCAGGTTATTACTGCTCCTTATCTTGCTCTTTCCTGTTGTAATTAGCTGTTGCATCTGGAGTGTTCAAGTTTAATTGTATTTTCTTTGCTGCAGATTGGAGATCCTTCAGAAGGTGATGGCTATACGTCTGCAGCCTTTCATCCTGATGGCCTGATTCTTGGAACTGGCACAACAGGTTCTACTGTGAAGATATGGGATGTAAAGAGTCAGGTGTGCTATATAAGTATCATGAAATATTTTCCTTTTACTTAATTCACTTCCCACAAGCTTAACCATTTTTTAGATTTATTTATCATATGTACGTTTTGGATCTTTAGGCAGTAGTTGCACAATTTGATGGCCATGTTGGAGCTGTTAATGCTCTCTCTTTCTCTGAAAACGGTTATTTCTTGGCAGTAAGTATTGTATTGAGTAAATATTTATCAGACCAGGAGTCAGTCATAAAGTGTAATGGAATTGTGGTTAAATTAATATGATACATACATTTTCTCAGACTGCAGCTAGAGACGGAGTTAAGCTCTGGGATTTACGCAAATTGAGGAATTTCAGGAACTTCTCTCCTTATGATGAAAATACACCAACCCAAACAGGTAATTAAATTCGCTTATTTAATGACATTATGTTGTGTGAAAGACACTGGTCTAGTTACTGTATGTTTAATGTGGATGCTGATGTGCTTACAGTGGAGTTCGACCACAGTGGAAGTTACCTTGCATCAGGAGGCTCAGATATAAGGTTGAGTTTAGTTGCAATTCCCCGTTTTTAAAATTTATTAACATTTTTAGAATTTTGAAACTTGTATTGTAGTAATGAATCACACATGTCACAGTTTGCCATATCAATATTCATTTTTTGGGAGGGGGTGGGGTGAGAGAGGGGCAGACTTAGCTATATTTATTAGGGGGCATTTGGTCTGCTGGATGTGACTTCTGCTAGACAACACACTAAAGCTAAATGTAACACAACCTTGTTTGATTCAGGTTATCTGACTACTCCAATAATATGGCCCTTGTAATATTTTGGACTGCTCTGAGTTTGTCACTTTGTCCTTGACATTTTGTGAACATATTTTCACATTCCACTAACCAAACAACCTAAAAGTAGATGTCATTGTATATTCCTGTAACATTACCTTCCCGTAGGCTGTAGTGGGCACTTGGTTCAGGTTACCAGAGAGTACCTTGGTAATGTTAGGAAGGTGATGCGAGATCACTTTGTTTGGGTTTGAGTTATATGGTTTTTTGATGATCGTAATTTGATATCATGTTGTTCCAAGCTTAAAAGTTAAAAACTATTGGGGTAATCTTAATATCACCACCTCATATGAAAATGAGGTAATATTGGGGGTAATCTAATTACCTTGGGTTTCTTAGGTCTTATGAGATAATATGGCTAATGTTATATCCATGTCATTAAGTCATGTATGTATTATTGGAGTTGCATTAGTAGTATCCCAACCAAACTCACAAGTTTCTATGTAGAAAGTTATTAGGGCTATAGTAATATGTAGTTGACGATTATTAGGAGTCTAGTATGTGTTTGTAGTTGTCTTTTTTATGCATTATATTTTTACGTCACTAAATTTTAGATGGTATCAAAGCCAAACTTATCCATAATGAAAATAGCGATTTGATGAAAATGATTAGTAATAACACAACACAGACGAATTGTTTGGTCAGACAAATTGTCTGGTTGCGAGGGGTGTTGTACTGGTAAAAGACGAATTAATAAACTACTACCTCCGTCCCATTTATATTGTCCTGGAAGAGGGTGGCACAGTTATTAAGAAAAGTGAGTTTGTGTGGTTGATATTAATTGATAAAGTAAGAATAAAGTAAGAATGATTTAGAGCCACACAAACTTTGTCAAATATGGTATGGGACAATTTAAGTGGGACTTCCCGAAAAGGTAAAACGGGACAATATAAATGGGACAGAGGGAGTATTATATAAAATATTGGGCTCCTATTATGTTCACCTTTTAAGATGAAATGTAAATCTTGATGTCCTATTCCATAGTTAATCTTATAATCTAGTTATTTCATACTCCGTATTACGTTGCTTGAGGTAATTACATCATCTGTGGCAATCTCTAATATTGTGTGAACCAAACACCCTCTGAGGGTAAATGTAACATAACCTTGTTTGTGAAGGTAGTCTCACATTTCATGAACTAGCAGACTTGATGCTTTGATAGATACCTCCAGTTAACCAGCACAAATTACAGAAAGAGATGAAGAATTCAAACAGAATTTTATTAGAGAAGATGAACAGTACACAATCCAAGGCCGAAGCCTCCCAAATGAGCCGAAGCCCCCAAGAAGGAGATAAACTCGATCTTCCCAGTCCCAAGACTTAAAGTCCCAAAAGCCCCCTAATTATTGCCACTCTACATCTATTTATACTAGAGACTCTTATTACTAATATTATTATTATTATTGTTACTTCTAATATTATTCTAATAGGTAGGTCCCTATCAATACTCCCCCCTAAACATCCACCTTGTCCTCAAGGTGGGTGATAGGAATCAGCCACAATCTTTTGCTTCCTCTTCCTCTTCCTTGTCCCTCTTCCTTCCCAATATCTAACTGGTTGATGGACTAGGAACTTCAGTACAAGATCTTTTAAAATCACAGAACTTTCAGCAGCAGACAGTGAATCTTCATTTAGTTCAGTCACCTTCCCGCACTTGACATAAAAAATTATTTCTTCCCTTTTCTGCAGCTCCTCATGATTTCTATGTCCTGAGACTAAAACTGTACTGGATGCAAACTCCTCTGTGTAGCTTTCAGCCTCTCCCTTTTTCAATTCTTTGCCTATCTCATTTGAGAAGGAGGGCCTCAAAGGTTTTAGCAGGAAAGTAAGGATATACATTATTCCAGCTGCAGTTCTCCTAATTAAGTAACAGGAAAGCATATCTCCCATGTAAAACTTCCAATGTTGGTTTCCTTGCAGGTAGACAGATCCATCACCAGTAAACGACCTGGCCATTTTCCAACCCTGTTCTAATTTCACCTTTTCATTTTCTTCACTAGCTTTTAAACCTTCAATGGCCACAAGTATTGCCTTGTCTTCTTGAAGTTTATCACCTACACCCTTAGTAGAATTTATGTTCATGCCTTGAACTTCTTTGCCAATGTGATGGCACACTGAAACCGAACAACATTTAGTGCATGAGAATTCCAATTCAACTCCTTCAACCCCAAGTGCATCAGTCATAATTCTGTGGATCCCCATTCTGAGTCCAGCTTCACTTCCTTCTATCACCGTCATTTCCTTAATTGCTCCATTTGCCACAGTAATAAAGTATAGCAGCCAATTCCCCTTCTCATTAGACACTGCAAGGTATTTCTGGTGCTTAACTTCGTTAATTAGACCAGTCTGCACAATAGGAAATCTATTTACACTCTTTGCAAGATCCTGGGACTGCACCAATATACACTTCTTGCGTTGATCAACATCATTAAATCTGAAACCATCAATCTTATTCACCCCTACACTCCCATCAGCTACAGGAAACACCTCCTTCCCTAAATCAGATATAGTTGAGGTACTGAGAGTTTTAACCATTGAGTCTCCAGTACCAGGTGAATGAATACCTTCATGAAAGGGAATCAATTTTTCTAATTTATTGACATCCACATGAAATCTTGGTTGAACCTCCACTGTCCATTTAATGGAAGGGTTACAAGTATCAATCCTTATCAGGTAAAGGCCTCGAAAAATAGGGTTTGACTTCCCAGTATTTTTCAAATTTCAGGATCCTGAACTTTATGACTTGAATCTTCCTTCTCACTGCTTCTAGCAAAAACAGCATTAGCTCCTCTTCCTTCCAAGCATCACTATTATTCATGTGTCTTTTTTGTTCATGCTGGTACTGATCTTCACCCATCATCCATTGCTCATTCTTCCATTTGTTAACAGCTCTTGCTACAGGATATAACTCAAACCCCTGAGATTCAGTTGCTTCACTCCTTGAAATTTCAACATCTGTCATGTATTTCCCAGGATCAATAGAGTCATTGAAAACTATCCCAATGGCTGTGTTTCTAAACTGAATACTAGTCCACTGGACACCCTTTACCATGTATATAATCCATCTTCTATACTGCTGGATGTTGCTGGGATTCTTTTGAGGTATATTACCACACACAATGCTTATACTATCACAAACTTTTCCCTTTTTAGCATCAAAAGTGGGACTGTCAGGCCACTTTAGTAGGTTCTGTTTGTGGAAGTAGCCATCATCAGATGAATATGTAGATGGGGCCTCTTCAGTGCTTCCTTCGAATGGGATTCGATAGGATGAACCCAGAACAACTTCCCATTTAGAACAGAATCTTCCTGATGGGATAACAACCACAACCATACCCCTCACACTATTTCTATCAGCTGATAGATTGGCTCTGTGGATCAGCTCTATATCATTCATACCTATTGCATCCAAATCATTTCTATGGAGAAATCCATTCCACCTGTTAGCTTCAGACAACTCATCATTAAGCCCATCATTTTTAAGCTCATATTCCACAGCAGAAATAGAGGGATGAATTCTATTCCAATCAATGTACACCCATTCATTACTATGGCCTGATGTGCGTGTAAACTGTTTTCCAAACAGTCCATTACAGAAGGATTCCTGAAACCTCTTTGCTTCCCTGTCCTGATCTGCCCCTAACTTTATTAGCCCCAGAGAGGAGATAGGAGCATTAACAATTCTTCCAAGTGGGCAGTGTTCCACTCCTATATTTCCAACCAGCTTTTCCATACTATTAGGTGCCGCTGAGTATTCACCACCTAGAGAGATGTCCGGAACAACCTTGTTCTCCACTTTATAATTATCATCACCGTATTCATTGTCCATGGCAGTTGAGGCGTGAGTAACGACAGAAGATTTCACCTCTCTTCCTTCGTCACCATAGATGAGAGTATCTTCTGAGTGAGGTTGCTGCCCGCTAGCTAGCTCCATGCCGAGCGGTAGAAACTGTGGACTGTGAGAAGCAATTTGAAAAGACGCTGGTGTACTGGGAGAAGCCGATTGTCTCATCCTGAGAATTCAGAGCAACAGATAGAGAGGACGTCTGCGAACTGTGAGGATAGGCCAACGCAGAAGTCTGCGGTCTAGGATCTGGCGACGACTTATGATGAGTTGTTCGCGACTGAGAAGAAACCACGGAATTGAAAGCTATTGTTCGAGATGAAGATGACGATTCTGTTCGCGATTTCGTTTGCGACTCCTTCTGCGACGAGCGAGGAGAGGAACGATGCGAAGAGATATGCGAAGAATGGTGCCAAGAACTATGCGAAGATTGGTGTGAAGTTCGTGATTGCGGACTCTGAGAAGAAACAGGTCGCGATTCTCCCCGTGATAGCGGATAATGCTTACTGTTCCTCGTTCGGTCGCCAGTTTTTCTGCGATGCCTCCGCTCTTCGGATTCCTCTGGACTTGCTGACTTTCGCGTGTGATGATGAGAGTCGCGATGTGATGATTCTGACGCATGCGATCGATTTGGCGATCGTCTTTGAAGTTTGTTAATCATATCCGCGAAGTTAGCCTGCATATCTGCCATCATCGTTTTTAACCTAGCGTTTGTCTCCATCATTCTGTCCATATTATCAAAACTTTTTTCCATCTGGGGTGTCATGTAGAAATCCTCCATGATTCAGATCTTCTTCTCCAGGAGGTAACAGGCTCTGATACCAATGATAGATACCTCCAGTTAACCAGCACAAATTACAGAAAGAGATGAAGAATTCAAACAGAATTTTATTAGAGAAGATGAACAGTACACAATCCAAGGCCGAAGCCTCCCAAATGAGCCGAAGCCCCCAAGAAGGAGATAAACTCGATCTTCCCAGTCCCAAGACTTAAAGTCCCAAAAGCCCCCTAATTATTGCCACTCTACATCTATTTATACTAGAGACTCTTATTACTAATATTATTATTATTATTATTACTTCTAATATTATTCTAATAGGTAGGTCCCTATCATGCTTTCACATCATGATCTTATTATTGTCCATTCATTATCATTGTTTAGGGTGTATCAAACTGCTAGTGTGAAGTCAGAATGGAACAGCATTAAAACGCTCCCGGACCTCTCAGGAACTGGTATTTTCTTTTTCTTAGACCTCTTTGGTTCTCTACATTCTAAATAGTTAAAACATTAACTTCCTTGCAAGATATTTATTTTTCTAATACTTATATCTTATGCACAGGTAAAGCCACATGTCTAAAATTTGGCCCTGATGCGAAATACATAGCTGTTGGATCAATGGATAGAAACCTCAGAATATTTGGTCTGCCCAGTGCGGAAGGTCCAAACGAAGAAGATTAACTCTTATTGTCACGATTCTTCCTTCCAGTTTCATTAGCTTTGTATGACAACATTTCCACCCTGTTTTGTTTTGGTTAAGCAATTGAAATATAAGAGTGGTACTGAATAGAATTTTAAGCTTCTGATAAATAGTGCTGGAAGTAAATCTTACCGTGATACTACTGCGTGTCATTGTGTTTCTCTAGACACGATTTTGTATTTTGGTCTCACAAAATCATGTTTGTGGACATGAATTTATGCCAGTTAAACCATACCATATATATCTGAAATCTAAACAGATCAGAAACATTGCGGTCTTGGTTGGGTATTAAAATCTTACGTGATCTGAGATCAAACTGGACGATCATATGAGGAATAAATTAAATTAATACTCAAATCTTCTTGGTGGGAATATATTTGATTTAGCTTAAAACCTGAAGTCCCATTGTGCTCAGTTCTCAATTATTGGCTTAATGATTTCAAGAAAATAGTGAAACAGCCTAGTGAAAGTGCGAAACTGAAAATCACTCTTCATGGTTTAGAGTTTAGACAGTTTTGTTTTTTAGTTTTTAAAAATGAATGAAAATTGAAAACATGCGATCGCAATGACATTAGACAACCATATATTTATGCTTGAATAATAGTGATAATAACCGACTAAGAAGCTGTTCTCTTCACTTGATCTGAATGTTTCTGATCTGAATTTTTTAAGTTAATCTTTTTGATCTGGTCTGATCTAAATCTTTCTGATCTGATCTGAATGTTCCTGATCTGATCTGAATGTTCCTGATCTGATTTGAATATTCCTGATCTGATCTGATTTGAATATTCCTGATCTGATTTGAATGTTCCTGATCTGATCTGAATGTCCCTGATCTGATCTGAATCCTTCTGATCTGATTTAAATATTTCTAAAATTATAATTATAATTTTAATTATTATAATTAGAAATGTAATCACACATATATAATTTAAATATAATTATAATCATAATTATAAAAAAATTATAATTATAATTATAATAATAATTATAATAGGTATAATTATTATTATATGTATTACACTAGTTATAAATATAGCTATAATTAGAGGAAGCGGTCCAGCTCAGCTGGTCGTCGACTCACTCTCCCTTATGGGAGGTTTCGGGTTCGAAACTCAATGGAGTGAGTTTCAACCTAGTTTACTTCAGTCTCCCCAGACCCCCTCCCCCAGACGCCTCCTGGAGTAAACAAAAAAAAACTATAATTATAATTGTAATTATATTATTAGTTATAATTATTTCTATAATTTTAATTATAATTATAATATTTATTTCTATAATTTTAATTGTAATTACTCAGTGTAATATAATAATAACAAAAAAAACTAATAACAATAACAACAACCATAATAGTAATAAGAATAATAATAATAATCATAGTAATCATAGTAATAATGATAATAATAATAATAATAATACTAATAATAGTGCTGGACTCGGGCCGGTTCGGGCCCGGCCGGGCTTCGGGCCAGGAAAGGGAGGCCCGAGCCCGAACCGCCGGTGGCCGGTTCCGGTCCCGGTTCCGGGCCAAACCGGGCCGGGCCGAACCGGCCCAATTAATTTTTTTTTTGTTCTCCTATTTAATCCCCTACCCCTCCCCCTCAACCCCAAACCATCCCAAACCACCTCAAATGGCCCAAAATACCTAATCCAACCTAAAACTTAAAAAAATTTCAAAAAAAAAAAAAAAAATTAAAATCCGGCCCGGACCGGGCCCGAACCGGCCGGGCCGGTTCACCAAAACCTGGGCCCGGGCCCGAACCGCCCAGCAGCCGGGCCGGGCCGAACCGAACCGGCGGACCCACCGGGCCCCGGGCCGGGCCGGGCCAAACAGTAACCGGGCCGGGCCGCCCGGCCCGAGTCCAGCACTTGTCTAATAATAATAATAATAGTAATAAGGAAAAATTGATTGTAATAATCCCAACTATTGGCGGTCCGCTTATAATAATCCCAACTATCGATTATTTTAGAATAATCCCAACTTTAGGGTCCTTCTGCCAATAACAGTCCCTATAAATAAATTCATGTACTTTCTGAAGTGGATGAGAAGAGATATAGCAAGTAATCTCTATAAATAATCTTAACTTTTAATTTTTACGCTTAATTTCTATTTAAAATTCACTTTTATAGAAGGTAATATTTGGTCATGGACTATTATTGACGGATGGTCCATATAGTTGGGATTATACAAAAATAATCAATAGTTGGGATTATTGTTAGCGGACCGGCAATAGTTGGGATTATTATTTTCAATTTTTCCTAGTAATAATTATTATAATAATAATTACAATAACAACAAGAATTATAATAATAATAAATTAATATTAATAATAATAATAATTATTATTATAATTATTATTAATATTATTATAATTATTATTATAATAAAAGGGATAAATCATGTCTGCACTTTTCTGATCTGAATGTTTCTGATCTGATCTGAATTATTCTGATCTAATCTGAATGATTCTGATCTGATCTGAATCTTTCTAACATGGGCTGAATTTTTCTGATCTGATCTGAATAAAATAAGAATAAGCAATGAGTAATAAGATTAAGACGAACATAACAGCAAGTCTAGATAGAATCTTCGATTATCATTCATATCGATTACGTTGTCATAAAACACAAGACCCGACAACGGACAACTTGAAGAAACAGCAAGCGTAATTAATTAGTCCACAAGAGTCAAACTTCTTTTAATATATCCTAAACATGAAAAGGGTAAATCAAGAGCAGTCTCAACTTCAATAGATCTGCTCATCAGTGTACTCAAAATACTCTCCTTGTTAAAACTACCACTACCTCCTCTGAAACCCCTAGCCACAACAAGAGATGTATTACACACCCAAGGGACTGAAACCACATATGCCAAGCCATCACAAGATTTCCCATTCCCTAGTAATGCTTCCTTGTAGGCCCTGCACACTTGTTTCACATAACCTCCCATGGGCAAGGAGTGACCATTGGATGATCCGCCGTCATAGTCCACGTCTGAGTGAAGGTTCACAATCACTGTCCCATGCTCAGGGTGAAGACAGTTACTCAAAGTTTTGAGGAACGGCAAGTGCAGGTCCCACAGCTTGTATGGAAAGATATCATCTCCGTCGTAAGCGTCGATGAAAACGATGTCATATGCGAGATGATGGGTGGGGTCAATGATGAACTTTTCAGCGTCAGATTCATATAAACAGATCCTCTCATGTGTTCCTTTCCATAGCATTTTTTGGATTGAGTCATGTGTTGATTGTGTAGGGTTAGTATATGGAGATGTTGCAAGTGAAGGTGATGGGAATCCCATAGCTTGTACTGAAGCTGAGATGACAGTAGGGTCAATTTCGACATCATGAACCATCGCCCCTATGATACACAACAATAATAAACTCAATAGTCAATAGTAAAAAAAAGTTATTGAGCCAAAGACTTACTATTTTTTGGCCTGCGAATGTGATGGAATAAAGCAAAATGGCTCACTAAATTGTCTGCGCTTCTTTGTTATGAAGCAACAACCAGCTCATGCAATTTTCGACGCGATTTTCACTATGGGTCATCCGGAAACATGTGCTTTAGTCAGGGGTAAGGCTGCCTACATCTGATCCCCTTACCCCACCCTAGGTGGGAGCCTTTGCGGCACTGGGGTAATGATAATGATGATTAAGGCAGACCCCACTGCTCAAGTAAGCAGGACCCACACATCTAAAGGGATGAGATGCATTATGCCTTATGGGCCATGACAGAGGACCGATTTCCATTGTATCAATAGTGTCACATGCCAGGAAAAAGTAATGAGACAACACATTCTATATGAAAAGTGAAAATAGAGGAGGAGGAGGAGGAGGAAGATGTAAGAACTAAGAAGCTAGGGGCCTGTTTAGTAAGAGTTATTCAGCTATATATGGCTGAACCTGCTTGATTTTCTGAATGGAAAAACGTTTGGTAGAGCTGATTTCTGCCAAATAAGAAAGCCAAAGGCTACTTATCCTGACTGAAAGCCGAATACGGTGATAAAGGCTACCAAACTTAGCCCATGTCATGTCAAGCTTAACAGCAATACATTTCAAATTCATTTACTTGATAACTAACAAATGCAAGTATGCAATGATATCCGGAAAACAGATACAGAAACTCAACTTCTGCTAAAGGTATTTATAGTTTGTTAATAAAGAAATTGCCCTAAATAGGAGTAATAACAGTGTGGAATTCCAAAATAGGAGCACTATGTTTTTATTCTCTAAATAGGAGTAATTACTCCCATGCTTGGGAAATATTACCAATTATGGCAATCATACTGTTATATTAAAGCTTGATAATGCCAAAATATGGTAGTAAAATTTCAGGAATAAAAACGTAGTACTAATGTTTTGGAATTGGACATTGTTTCTACTCCTATTTCGGGAATTGTTGCTTATTAATATTGTCAAAGGATCAGCTGCAAGCAATCAATCCAATAATTGTAACATAAAACAGTTAAACTGTATTCAACCTACTATCCTCGGGATAAGAATTACTGCAACAAACCAGATGAAAAATTAAAGGTGCTTTTGCACTTAAAAAGTTTAAGGATATGATTATATACTTGCAATATCTTGTCCTTGGCATACCTTTAATTTTGCTTGCTAAAAACAGTGGTATACTTCCTCCACCATGACCAATGCATAAGACATTCATCGTCTTTGTCCCACATATAGCTTTATGAAGATCAAAGTTACAGCATGAGATTGTAGCCAGCCCAGCACAAATCATACTCTTTACATCTACAAGCATCATGAAAATATTAAAAAATCATACAGAGTACTTACAAAGGCTATAACATCCATAATGTACGAAAAAGACACATCAATCAATCTTAGGTATTACTCATGTCTCTTCAGATGCTTGAGATCACATATGTTTAATACTACGCCCATCCCAATTTAACAGGCCAATTTGATTTTACTGGTAAAAGCTTTTGAAATTTGACCAATAATAGACAGTGACTTTTCAGTCTCCAATGTCTATTTTTTACCTTTTTTTGACAACGTCTATTTTTTACCTTAAAAAATTGACATTGTATACAAACAAAAACAACAATAAGTTAAACTTAAAAATATAAACAAAATCAAATCAGTCAAGAATATTTGCATATTACAGAGTAATATAGCTTCATATACTTTATGGTCGATGTCACTGTATTTATACTTTCCGAAAGTCAAGCTATGATGGTAATTTAGGGACAAGGGGAGCATAATTTTAAGAACACTCTTACAAAGGCACATAATATAAAACTTTTACTAAAATATACCAATCAAAACATTTGTCAGAGTTCAGAATCTATAATGCAAAATCAAATGTGACCTAAAAGGATGGAGTGAGTACCAAACAAGCAAATGATGCATGAAATTGGTTCTTTTACCTTCACTGCCCGTATCACACAAAACAGTGGATACACATACACAACTCAATTTAACATAGTGACCTTCAAATCCTCAACTTCCATTTAAGAATACGAAAGCTGGAAACAACCTCTCATTTCCATTGGATCACACACTCCTTGCATATTAATATGAAAAAGATGAGTAGCTTTATTGAATATGCAAAATTAGGTGTTGTTATAATTGCTAAAACCTCTCATCCGTAAAAACAATTCAAACATTATACAATATACACACTGTCTTACATGGAATAGCCAGACAATGTGGCTGCTGCATCAAGAGTATGGAATCAGGATCTGACTCTCTGTAAAAAGCCATTACTTTAACAGTGCTCTGGCGAGTATCTTCATTAAAGCGGAGAGCTCGCCACTGATAACCAAGAATCTTGAAATTTCCTTGGTGCTTACTATCGCCTGAATGTATCTCATGATATCTTTCTTGTAGCCACTTCTCTGTTCTTCCCCAGTAAACTTTGTCCTGGAATAAATGTTACGGAATGTTGTTTTTTATGTTTAGTTTTTCATGAAAATTTCAAAGGAAAATGAAATATGATTAATCCTTTTATTTTTCATTACAATTATTTAGATTACTTAGTGCGCATATAGTATAAATAAGAAGCATGTTTTTGAAAAAATATCTAAAACAAATTTCTTCCTCCCAATTTTCCTCTCTTTTTATCCTAAGTATTCACCGAGTTCTAAATGAACCCTTAATGAATGTATCAGTTCTAACAATCTATAACAAGATCTCAAAATGACCAGCCAAGTCTGTGGTAATTCTTGAAAAAAAACTAAAAACGAGGATTTTCAAATAAATAAAGAACATAGAGATGCTTATAGTGTGTTGAATGACTAATCTTCTCCTTTTCTAGTCCTCTACATCAGGGAAGGAGATTTTACAGTGATCAGGATGCTTACACACTGAAAACATGTATAAAAAACGTTGAATAAGCTCTTTCAGTCTAATTCAGAAATCAACGCTCTTAGCCACAAATTTCTCAATGCATCAAACTGACCAGACATGAATTCACTATCAGTAAGGAATGCATTAAGATTAAGAGAACAATGAACGCATGAAATGCAATAAAAGCACTTTAATGTCAAGAAAAATACAAGAGGGGGAGAGTTAGTGGAAGATAAGACTGTACAGGTTTAGAAGAGGGATAAGCTATGACAGAAACTTCGCCGTTTCCCTTGTCGGAAAGTGAACGGAAAACAGTTTTGCCATCTGCGCCGGAGCTGTCCCACCACTCGGAAGAGTAGAGCCAGTCTCCTTCATCTTCAGCACGGTTGCGCACGGTGGTAGAGAAGCGCCGGAGCTTCTGATCCAACCTCCGTCCAGCTCTGCACAATAGCATCACTCCAGAACCCCAGCAAACCCCTACGAAGATTATTACTACCTCAGTCCCATTTTATTTTTTTGACTAGCCACGCTTATTAATGAAGTGCTTGAAAAAGTAAAAGTTGTGGTTGAGATTTGAGTATAATACAGTGAAATGATGTAGATCACATATTTCGTTCCAAAAAAGGAAAGAAGACGCTTATTTCGGGACAACCCAAAAAGGAAAGTAGGTCTCGTACGTACCTACCAGACCTTAGATTCCCCTCTGCTTGATTAAATTTTAAAACACAAGAAACAAGCCCCTAAACTTTGTATTGAGAATAACTAGGGGTGGGAAAAATCGAACCGAAACCCGGAAACCGACCCTGGCCCGGCCCGAATTATGATATCGGTCCGGGTTTTTTCTTTTTGACCGGCCCGAATAAAAAAAACTCGGACCGAACCCGAAATTTCGGGTTATTTAACGGGTCCTAAAATCTATTACCCGGCCCGGACCGATAAAAACCCGAAAACAATTAACTTTAATATAAAATCAATATAATATACCAATGTAATTTATAAATTAATTCCTAATATATGATTATAATCATGGTGGACGAAAAAAATGACTTAATAACTATTAGTTACTACAAATATATTCAATTTATTTACCGTAATGACCATGAAAACATATTTATAGTAACTTTAGTTACATTTTCATCCATAAATTTTATTTTGTTACATTTTTAGAAAACCTATATTATTTATTTTTATGGATCTTAAATCTCGGGTTATTTAACGGGCCCTAAAATCTATTACCCGGCCCGGACTGATAAAAACCCGAAAACAATTAACTTTAATATAAAATCAATATAATATACCAATGTAATTTATAAATTATTTCCTAATATATGATTATAATCATGGTGGACGAAAAAAATGACTTAATAACTATTAGTTACTACAAATATATTCAATTTATTTACCGTACTGACCATGAAAACATATTTATAGTAACTTTAGTTACATTTTTATCCATAAATTTTATTTTGTTACATTTTTAGAAAACCTATATTATTTATTTTTATGCATCTTAAACGAAATATCATGATGATTGTCTTCTTTGGATTTGAATTCTTGGTGATTTTGGAAACTAATATTTGTGTTATTATTTGCGGTTTGTACTTTTGATTAATATTATTTGAAAATAAATTTTAAAATATAAAAGAAAAATGAGATGATTTCACATTCGGGCTTTAACCGACCCAACCCGAACCCGGACCGAACCCGGGCTACAAAAAAACCGACTCGGACCGAATATAGTGGGCTTTTTTCCGGTCCCTAATTTTCATAACCCGAGACCTTACGGGTAATTTCCGGGTTTAACAAAAACCCGGCCCGGACCGGACCGATCCCACCCCAAAGAATAACAAACCCCTAAACTAAAAAAAAAACGAGTAAAGGGTCAGTTTGATCCTCGAAGTTGCATAAAAGGGGTCAAGTAAGTCCTTATATAGGAGATTCTGTCCGGAAGTGCCATTTGAGGCGGTTCCCAGTAGAATTTTTTGATGAATTTTTTTTAACATCTTATTTATTAAGTCTAGTTTACTCATACCAAATTTCAGCTACAAATTTATTCGGGAAGACCTTCAAATGAGTTCTTAAAGATAACTGCGTTTTTAACTGCACATTTATCTTCAAGAATTCATTTGAATATCTTCCCAGTTGAATTTGTATTTGAAATTTGGTATGAGTGAACTAGACTTAATGAATAAGATGCTCAAAAAATTTCATCAAAAAATTCCACCGGGAACAGTCCCAAATGGCGACGACTGGATAGAACCTCCTATATAAGGACTTATTTGACTCTTTTTATGCAACTTCGAGGACCAAACTGACACTTTACAAAAAAAACTATTCCGTATTTGTATACAGTTCATTTGTATATGTTTCATAACGTCCGTTTATGCAAATTTCACAAGTCCATGTCAATAACAATTTTTATATCCGAGAATATTTTGTTCATAGACAAAATATATTTATACGTGAACATAAGAATAATCTGTTTACAGACACATTACACATATATAAGACACACTACAAATATTTAAGGCATGTACAAATGAGGGTATACAAAAACAAGGCTATAAAGTATACACTTAAATGGTGTATTTTTGCAAAAAAGAAAAAAAAACTCACTATGCTTGGAAATATATCTTCGGTAGGTTACATTTGGGTTTTACCATTAATTAATTATTATGGACATATCACTTAGGACAAATTTAATAATAAAATAAGTGTTTATTATTGTTCTATAATCTAGAAAGATATGACAAATATATGAACAATATCGTAATCATAGCACTATAAGCATATATTTACTTTATGATTAATTTCACTGTTAATTTATTAACAAGAGATTTTTTCAAAAATATTACGGAGTACTAAAATAAAATTTATTTATACAAATATGACTAATAGTTACTAACTTACTACAATATAATGTTATATTCATTTAATTTAAAAAATTGAACATAAATTTTTAATGTAGTCACATTTTTGTAAACAAACTTTATTTTGGTTATGAATATGTAATTGTTTCTTAACACACGTGAAGTAGATAATTTTTTTTGATAAATATTTGTTCAATAAACATCTTTTATATCTTACTGTATTACTTAGTAAACACTTCACTCCACACGTTTGAGTAAGCCACATGTTAAATTTTTTAAACGAACAAGTACAACATTCTTTGTATTACATAATGAAGGTTGTCAAAGTATCTCACCCTCCATCCACCCTAGGGATGGGAGTGGGTAGGGAAGGGGTAAATCCTTGAAGAGTTGAAGGTCATAAATGTCGTTTAGAGTTAAATCATGTTTTCATAAGAATCATAAATGCATCGATCGTATAAAATCAAAATACTTTATGAAGTACCTTATATTAAAAACCAATAACATATGTTTTAATACACACCAACACATGAAGTAAACTTGTTCCAAGGGGTTTTGGTTGCGTTCACTTGAGGAGACAACATATGCCCATCAAAATGAGCTCATTTTAAAAAGTTTATGGAATTAATTGTTTTATATGTACAATAAAAATTTATTATCAAGTGAGGTAACGTATTTTATATACTACATAAAGACATTGTAGTGTTTTATCCTCCTCCTCCTAAAATATTGTATATGATGCAATGTGAAATATTTAAAAAATGTGTCATGCCCTTAAGAATCGACATACTCCGTATTTTTTTTTTGTATCACTACATTTCGCATGCAAACTAACAGAGAAAGAGCAAATTAACAACTGCTTCTTCTACATTTTAAAACCTCCTAAAATCGAAGAGCATAAAAGAACCAAGGAGTACAATACAACCCGACCCTTGGGTCAAAAGATAATAATAACGGAAACCAAAGGAATTCTCAAACGGCAGCTCTCCGGACTTGGACCTTACCGTTGGGAATCAGATTCTGAAAGTTTTTCCGAAGACGGGTATGGCCCATTCAAAGCCGACTGTTCTTGGCTTTATTCAAAAGTCAGAAATTCTACAGCTCCCTCCAATTCCAATCTATAATCATTCTTTCCTTTCATTTCCCATTCATTCCCACGGGGTTTTCTATATGTTTATGATTATACCATTTTCGCACTCAACAACTTTTCCCCAAACTCATCATAGTTTCTGGAAAACCTGAAATTGGGTTTCAATCTTTTCCCACAACCAGCAATTCTTTACAAGAAAAGATAAAGTTGGTTCCTTTCTTTTTTTTTATCATATTATTATTATTATTGTTTTTTATTATTATTTAATTAAGATGGGATTTTGTTTTTCCTTTTAGTGTATCCGAAGGTAAAGGTGAGGGATCAAGAAGAAGGAGATGATGATAGGTGGTATGCCTATGGGTTGGGCTCTTTGGAATCCTTAAAAGCTTTTGAAGCAATTTCCCTCTCTGTCTTATCTTCTTCAGGTAATACCTTTGATCTCTCATCCATTGTATGAGATTACTATCTCTATGACAAATTTATTGTCCTAATTTCTCTGCTGAGCTACTTACTGGTGAGAATTTCTCTCTCATAATCCATTGCTAGAGAGGATTTTGGCTATATCTTCTGATGACCATGATCTTTACATTGTGCCCATTTAATGAACTTGGGGTCTCTTTGGATGAAGAGTTTTGGAGGGCTTGGTCATGTGGGTTATTATGTATACACACTCATTTGGACTATTTCCATCATTTGCAATGGAGTCAAGGACTCACTATTTTTTGGCTTGGGAATATGATTGAATAAAGCAAAATGACTTACTATATTGTCTGCGCTTCTTTATTATGAAGCAACAGTCAGTCCATGCAATTTTTGGTGCGATTTTCATTATGGGTCATTCGAAAACAGTCTCTCTGTACTTTAGTACATGGGTAAGATTGCGTACATCCAACCTCCCTTACCCCCACCGAAGGTGTGGGAGTCTTTGCGGCATTGGGGTAATGATGATGAATGATGACACTCATTGGACTGACCTAAAACATTACTTAGTATATAGTAATTTACTACGTATTATTTAATATCAATTTGGTGCGGTATATACTCTGTATACTTCAACCCGCTCTCAAACATACCTTAAACAGCCTACCATTAATCATAGGTTCCTCCGGGTCAAGCATACCCGAAAATAGCCTACCATAAACCAAAGGGACAAAGAGAGCAAGCAAATCACAATTGAACTTGATTCTAATAGCATATTAAGTACTGAAATCTCAATCAAAATGGTCACACTAATAGGAGTAGTCCATGATCTTATACAATGGTTTGTAATTTTACCTACCGTTTTGAGATAATTACTTGACAAATATATATTTGGGTATAAATGTTGTAAGTGCATGAATACACTTGGGAGATTTTGCAAGATACACTGCTTTTGGGTGTTTATTCTAAGACAAATCATGTGTTTTGTATGGGAAATTTACTTAAATGTTACTAAAACATTTATAGATTCCTAATATATGACTAACAAACTTAAACATGATTTTATGAGTAATAATTAAATTCAAGAGGGAAGAAGTAGGATCAGATTCATCAGAATGCATTC